TTGTGGGTAAGAGCTAGCAGAAGGCATGTGTCCTGGACACCAGGCACCATGTCTTTTCTCAGGAGTCATGAGCTTTGCTTGGTCTGTTATGTGTCTTGACTTAGTTAGAATGACCTTTAGCAGTTAAATCCAATGAAAAGATGAAGCACCTGCCTGGGAATCTCATCTACCTACTTGGTAGATGTTAAGTTGAAAGAACTGCGTAAGATCTGAATTTAACTCAGATGATACAATTCAGTCCCCATCTAGAGGTGACACAATTGTTTAAGCAGAAAAGTGTGCCCATCATTGGCACAGAAAGGCATATGTACCTGCCTTAGACCCAGCCCCAAGGCGCCTAGCACAGGCATAAAGTGAGGCAGACCTATCCTGAGCGGTGGCACGGCACGGTGGTAAGCAGTCTCCAAGGCCAGAGCCTGGGTGTGAGCCCTGCCTTTACTGCTTACTGGCTGTGTGACTGTGGAACCTTCCTTAATCTCCTTTCTCAGTCTCTTCATCTGAAAATGGGGGTAATGGCAGCACCTGCCTTGTAAAGTTGTTAAAAAGGTCTGGTGGAGTGGCTTAAGGTATAGGCCCTGTGTTCAAGCTCCAGCACTGGAGGAAAAAAATAGAAAGAAAGAAAGGTGTACTTGATGTCATAGTGAGGAAAGGCACTGTAGCAGGGAGTTGGCATGTCCAGTGGAGGAGACAGAGAACTTTATCCAAGGAGATGCCACCTTTGCTGCTGTCCCAGTGCCTCTCTCTGCCCCGCCCCCCCAAATCAGCCTGTCCAGAGCGAATCCTAACAGTTACTTCTACTCTCCTCTCCTGCCTCTCTTCTCTCATTACATTTTCTTCCAGGATAAAAATGAACAGAAGTAGTCCTAGCCTCAGATCACTGTGGAGTTTCTGCCTTGCAGAAAGTTGGGCAGTTCTTTTGCCTTAAGTTCCATTTGTTGGCTATTAAAGTAGCTTCATGACACCTCTCATAGGTATTTGCACCCTTCCTTCCTTTGCTGTTTGCTGTTGGGTCAGTTCGTGTGTGTGCATGGACCTTCGTGGAGTATTGGGATAATAACCCTTTGCAGTCTGTTATAAAACTGTATTGGGATAATAACCCTTTGCAGTCTGTTATAAAACTGCTGTAAGCCTGTGCCTGGCTTTGTTCACAGGGTCTGTACTGCCTGTTTCTGTTGCTGTGTCCAAGGCTGGGTACTCTGTGGAAACAAGCTTATGTACCTTTCAGTGTGGAAGCTGACATAATGATCAGGGGACCCCATGGCTTTAGCCTCTGGTGAGGCCTCCGAGGCTGCATTGCACAGGAGGCAAACAGGAAGGGACAGGCTGCATGCAGAAAGGACCACTGGCGTGGGTCACACTCAAGTTTTAGCAGCTCGCTCTCTCAGGTTAACCACATTAATCCCTTCCCAGGGCAGCACCCCTAAGGACCTAAGGACCTCCCTGTGGCCTTACCTCTTGGAGGTCCCACCACTTCTCAGTGTCACACAGAGGATCACATTTCCAGCACTCAAACCATATCTAAGACATAGCAGGACCCTTTGTCATACAGAAGTTTAAAAAATGTTTCAGAGTCAGATTGATCTTTTCTCTTTTAGCTTTTGGGTTTTGGGCCATGATTAAAAAGGCCTCCCATCTGTGAAGTGAAAGTTTATACTGGCTCAGTCATTCCCAAATATTAACAGAATGCGTTAAAACTCATGTTTCCCAGCTCCTCCCCAGACTCTCTGGGGAATGGCGCCCAGTCACTTTTGGTTTTTGGTGGGATTTGGATTTGAACTCAGGGCTTCACATTTGCAAAGAAGGTGCTCCACCACTTGAACCACACCTCCAGCCCCCCAGTGATTTTTTTTCTTGTGGTGCTGGGGATTGAGCCTAGGGCCTTGTTTGTGCCAGGCCTCTAGCACTGAGCTACTCCCCCACTCCCACTCCTACCCCTCTAGAATATGATTTTAATAAGCTCCTGTAGGTGATTCTGTGACTCTGCTTATCAGCTACATGTGGGAACCACTGGACAAAAGAATCGCTAAGGTCTCTTCTGATGCTAAAATAGCACTTTTCTGAATTGTGTAACTCTTACTATCTCAGCAGCTAGACTGTAAGCTCTTTGAAGGCAGGCAAGATGGATACTGCCCTTCTCATGGCTTTCAACTCATTGAGTCCTTCCTGCCTCACACCTTAACAATTCCAGTAACCTGTCATGACTATCTATAGCTATCTATAGCTGTATTTATCTTCCTTTTTTTTGGCAGTACTGGGGGGTTGAACTCAGGGCCTCATGCTTGGCTAGGCCACACTGCCAGCTCTTTGCTTTAGTTATTTTTGAGCTAGGGTCTCCCTTTATGTCAGGGTGGGCCTGGGCCATGACCCTCTTCTTTATACTTCCCTGAGTTGCTGGGATGGCAAACTTGAGCTACTGGTGCCCCAGCTGACTGTATTTATCTAAAGCAGTATTTTGAAGTTGACACTTCTCTATGCAAAATCTTTGGCTACAAAATAAAAATTAAATTAATAAAAACATTTGCTGGAGGAGTGGCTCAAGCAATAAGAGCGCCTGCCCAGCAAGCATGAAGCCCTGAGTTCAAACACCAGTACTGCCAAAAAAATAAATAAACAAAACAAAACTTTGGCTATAAGACAAAACCCTAACTCTATTCTACGTTGTAATTCAAGGGCTGTTACAAACTGGCCCATTTGATTTTCCACTTTACTTCCACCAAGGCAGTTGTGTATAGCCATCTAAACTAATCTGTGTGTTGTACAACTCCCAAGACAGTGGGCAAATGATGTTCCTTGGAATTGTGTGATATGATGGTGACCCCATTTCTCCCACCCTTTCATTAATCCCTCGCTGCAGCCTGATTGGTTGGTTGGTTTGTTCCATGCTCTCTCTCTGTTTTTCATATAGTAATAAAAGCCTTACTCATTCTTGCTTTCCTACCTGTTTTATGACATTCACCTTGTCTAAAAAGCCCTTTTAACTTTTTCTTTATCAAAATTCTGCCTATTGACAGCTATATATATATTGGAATATTGTGCAGCCATAAAAAAGAATGAAGAGTAAGCAAGGTGTGGTAGCATGTGCTTAGAACCTCATGTCAGCACAGGCGGTTGAGGTGGGAGAATGGTGAGTTTGAAGTTAGCCTGAGCTATGTAGTGAGGCCCTGTCTCCAAAGAAAAGAAAAAAGGCACTGCTTTGCTTGGCCCCATGATCTTACTGGTTATTTTTATTTGTTTATTTATTTATTTATAGACAGGGTCTCTAAAGTGAGTAAGATCTCTATGAGCTCTTATGAAGTGATTTCATAAGGTTACATGAAAATAACAAGGTACAGAAGACTGGCCACAGTATTCTATGTTTTGTGTATGGAAAAAGAAAATAAATATGTATTTTTAAAAAGTGCATATGAACAGACGCATGCTTATTACTACAAAGGGAAGCTTTAAGCATAAACTAATGAATCTGGTGCTGTGGCTTGAGTGCCTGTGTTTGAACTTAACCTTTAACCCCACAGTGCTGGGATTAAGAGGTCCTGAGGCCATTAGGCTAGTCTCCCCTCATGGGTGAGATTAGTGGCTTGTACAGTGGGACTGGAGGGAACGAGGTAGCCCTTCTGCACCTTCCACCATGTGAGGACACCTAGCTGGCACCATCTGAGGAACAGGCCCTCACCAGTCACCCAGGCTGATGGTGTCTTAGTCTTGACTCAGTCTCAGACTCCAGAACTGTGAGAAGATACATCTGTTCTTTATACATTACCCACTCTCAGGTATGTTGTTATAGCAGCAAAGTGGACTCAGCTGGTTATCTGTAGGGACTAATTGGAAATAGAGTGGAGGGGAAAGGACAGGGAGAGAAAATCCTCTGAGCCTTCCTTTTTTGTGTGATTTCAACATTTTAAACTTTTGAACCATGTAAATCTTTTACGTATTCAAACACTGATTTACAAATTATGAAAATATGCTATAATTGAGTATAAGGAAAAATGAATTCAACTTACAGAACACACAAAGAAATAAAATAACTTCTCATTGTCCTTGTTGACTGCAAATTCTCAGTGGGAGATACTTTAAGGACAGAAAGAACACCTCAGATACGAGACCTAGTAGACTTCGTCAGCATGGTCCATCCAGAAACTAGCATGAACTGAGGTTCTAACGAGGGAGAGGGAGAGGGGTACACTAATACAAGGGAGAGCTGTGGTGTCGACTTTGAATGATAAACACTAGTGTTGACTGATGGTTTTTTAAAAGTCCCAGCTTTATCACTCACATGACTTAGAGGCAGTGATACCCAACAACAATGGTGACAGTTACTGCTCAGAGAGCTCCCCAAAAAAGGGCTGCAGTACAAGTTTGCTTTGCTTTGCTTTTTTGGTGACAGCGGGACTTGGCCCAGAGCTCCCCGCTCACAAGGCAGGCTCTCCCGCTTGAGCTGCACCTCCACGCAAGTTTGCGTCTTCTGTGCTGAGGACCCAAGGCAGGGTCTTGTGCTTGCAAGGCAAGTGCTCTACCATGGAAGCTGCACCCACAACCCTCATTTTAAAAAAAGATCAGGTGACTTTTCCTTTCTCCTACTGCACTAGGATCACGATGGGTTTTAATTTTCTGGTGCTTAGTTGTTGCACCATGCACATGGAACTTTAAAAAACATTGATTTTCTTTAGGTGAATGTTTGGACTCTTCCCCGTTGCTGTTTGCGATTGCAAGCGCCACCACTGTAGAGTGGATCTTGTCTGTTTCCAGAGTCAGGGAGTGCGCGACACTCATTTATAACAGAGCTTAAAACCACTCCCGAGCCTCAAGTTTGTCAGTCTTGTAGTGATTCAGTTAAAAACTTTAGTAAACCAGCCCAGTCCTCTGAACAAGAACTCACAGAATGTGTAAGATGCTCCTCTCCTGAGAACAAGAAAGCGCTCGGTTGTCGAGTTTGGCGTCCATGCCATGGGTATCGTCGGCAACCGGCTTCTGAGTTCTCAACCGTGCCGATTCCTGTCTTCCAGGATTCCTCTGCTCCGGATTCAGGGCCTGAGGATGAATGGTCACCGGGGCAGTGACGGCGACAGGTTGCTGCGGCCGGAGGCCAACCGTCTGGTGGACGATAGCTTAGCTGCAGCACCAGAGAAAGAGACAAGGGGCCTGGCCGTGCCCGGGCTTCACCCTCTCCCTTACCCGCTGGTGCCCAGGAGCGAAGGTACACTGGTTTGCTCTGAACTTAATCCGGGGGGCTTTCTGCCACTTGAGCAGGCACGAACGGGGCCAAAGATCGGCTTGATCGCCGCGGCCGGCATGTGGCCATCAGGCTGACGCGGTGTGGTGTGAGACGGCCAGCCACAAGTTTGGAGTCAGAAGACAGTTCCCATTCTAGCCCTGCTACCTGTACGTAGGCATGGAGGAGAGCTTGAATCTTGCCGAGTCTGCTCTCAGGGTCATTCTTCTCACAAGGCTAGCGGGATGTGAACGCTCTTGGTAAACTGTTGGGTTCTGCTCTTCTGCTCAGTTTTTTTTGTTTGTTTTTGGTGGAACTGAGTTTGAAATCAGGGCTTTGAGCTTGCAAAGCAGGTGCTCTGCCACTTGAGCTGCACCTCCAGCCCCTAAACTTCTTTTTTTTAGTAACAAAATTTCTAAATAATCCTAATTTTTTAAAAGTTAATACGTGCTTTCTAGGAAACAGAAGAACACAAGAAGCCAAAACAGTCATTCACAGTCACAAGAGGTTCAGCGAACGTGTCCTTCTAACTCCTGCATGTTTTATACTCAGCATTTTTTTTCCTTGCAGCACTAGGGTTTGAATTTAGGGCCTCCTACTTGCTAGGCAGGCACTCTATCACTTGAGCCACTCCTCCGGCTTTGTTTTGTATTGGGTATTTTCGAGATAGGGTCTCTCAAACCATTTGCCCAGGGTGGCTTTGAACCACGATCCTCCTGATTTCTGCCTCCTGAGGAGCTAGGATTACAGGCATGAGCCACTGGCACCCAGCTCAACATCTTATTTTATGTGATTAAAATTATATAGTATGTGCCTTGCTTTTTCACACATGGTGAATATTTACCAATTCAAAATCCTAGAGTGACACAAGCATTTGATAATCAAGAGTATGTGCTATGTGAACCCAGTCTTTAGAAAATGAAAAAAATCTAATCCTGCCTTTGTTGGGGATAAAATCTTCAGAGAAGACAACAGTGGCAATGGGTGTTTAAGGTATCAGCAGAATCATGATTAAAATACTACATCCCCTCATAGCTCAATTTAAAATAAGACATGAGGCAACAAAAGATACCGTGAACAAAGCATAGGAGCTGCTGGTGCCTTTAGGCTTGCTGTTTGTTCCCCCTGTGCCAACCCAGCAAGCAGGTCCTGATGCACTCTGACAGTTCCATGGCCAATGCATCTTTCCTGTCAGAACAAAAAGAGGCTTGCAGATTCGCTAATTCCCTAGCTCTTCTTTTTGTTGTACTTTTATAATTAGACATAGCGCCTAGCATTTTTTGAGCACACATTATATGAATTTTACTCAATGCATTCTTTAGGTCAGAGAGAGCAAACTATGCTCAAATCTGGCTGCTGCCTGTTTTTTTTAAGAAGTTTTATGGCCAGGTGCAAGCAGCTTACGCCTGTAATCCTAGCTACTCAGGAGGCAGAGATCAGGAGGATCAAGATTTAAAGCCAGCCCCAGGTAAATAGTGAGACCCTATCTCGAAAAAACCCCTCACAATAAAGGGCTGGTGGGATGGCTCAAGTGGTAGAGCCCCTGCCTAGCAAGCATGAGACCTTGAGTTCAAACCCCAGTACCACCAAAAAAGAAAATGAAAAATGTTACAGAAACAACCTTCCCATCCATTTGCCTGTTTGTTTCCATATAGTCTATGGCTGTTCTGTTATGCAGCAGACATGTCAACCTGCAAAGCCTAAAAACAATGACTTTGTGGCTCCTTAGAGAACGTTTGTCCATCCTGTTCTAGATGAATCTTCACAACCAAGCTTTAGAAAGCTTAGGTGACTTTTAGGTTCACACTGCAGGAAGCAGGTGTCTGGGATTTGGATCTGTCTTTCTGCCCAGGCTGTAATATGCCAGAAGCTTGTGAGGCACCCTAGGTGCTGGAAGTGGATTTGTGCACAGTCTTTTCTCCTGGCTCCTTTAAGCAGCGTGGAAGCTGAGGTGTCTACCTTGCGGTCAGGAATCAACCCAACTTAATGGCTTCCTTAGGGGTGAAATCAAACTTTCTAAAGAACTGGATTAGTGATCCAGGTACCGACTTCACTTTCAACGGCGGCACTCCCGGCATGAAAGTCTGTCCTAGTGACGGGCGTGTTTCTTGGGGCAGGCTAGCCTGTGTGCTGCCCCGAGCCTTAGCTCTTGCTTACGCAAACAAGACCACAGTGCGCGTGTTCAGAAGCCTACATGTGAACTCTGGGTAGGTTTTTGGTTTAGATTTTAGGTTCTTTTTATCTGCAAACAAATTAACAACTTATTTGGTTATCAGTACAGGAAATTAGTCTTTCCTAGAGATTGTGGGCAGTAATCATGTTTATGAATAACTGTATACTTTTCTTTTTGGTGGGGCTGGAGTTTGAACTCAGAACTTTGTGCTTGCAAATCAGGTGTTCTATTGCTTGAGCCATGCCTCCAGTCCAAACTTGCCCAGACTAGATGATAGGACGTTCTGTGTGTTTAAAATTTTTCATTGAAACAGGTTCTGTCCAGAAGCGGGCTGGGAGAGGGGTGTATTTACTCACAATGTATACACATGTGAGCAAATATAAAAAACTCTTAAAAAAAAAAAACTTTTTATGTGAATAAATGAATAAAAACTTTTTAATACTTTTTTACATTAAAAATGTATCTAGTAATATATTAGGAGACTGCCTATTTAAAAGAATGATCTGGTAACATTTTTGTACATGCTGTGATTGTCTTCAGGATACATGAATTCGGAGTTCACATGTTCTGTTGTAAGCCTGTTTGGTGTCATGGCATGTTGTACATTTTCAAGTACTTTCTCATGCTTGTTTTTCTTTTTTTGGTGGAACTGGGGTTTGAACTCAGGGCCTCATGCTTGCTAGGCAGGCGTTCTACTACTTAACCATTCCACCAGCCCTGTTTTGTGTTGGGTATTTTTGAAATAGGGTCTTGCAATTATTTGCCTGCCTCGAACCCTGTTCCTCCTGATCGATGCCCCCTGAATAGCTAGGATTACAGGCGTGAGCTACCAGTGCCCAGCTACTTTCTCTTTATTTCAGTTGGTAATCAAACAATGCTGTGAAATAGATGAAGTGAACATTATTGTCCTCATTTTGCAGATGATAAGACAGTTTTAGAAAAAATAAATAATTTAAACAGCTTTTTGGACAAAAATGAGATTCCATGGATGACTCCTAATGCCTTTCCTGCTGAGAGCAAGGCCTGCCTGTTGAAAAAAACGTAGGCGATGTTGGGAGTCTGATGGACGTTAGTGAAATGCATTTCTGTGACTTTCTAGGAAAAGTGGTGCATTAGATAACTGTACTCATCCTTTGTGCAAACAAAATTTAATGTGAAAATTGATAGTTTTAGCACACAGCAGTAGCAGGTTCCTTCAGTAAAACCCAGGAGAAAGATGTGTATTTTTTAGAAACAGAAGTGAGCCACCCTGGGACTTCAGGAAGACTGGCAGGGGACTGCTTGGTTGTAAGCCAGCTCTGCTGTCAATGTCCACTGTAATTTTAAAGTGTGGTATTTCTGCCTTCACTCCCTGCGATTCCCACCCTGAGGGAAGGACGCTCAGGGAGATCCAGCGTTAGTCTTTGTCTTGCTTCGTTTGACTTGCTCTAGGCACAAATTTAGCCTGTGAACCCCTGAAAGTTAGGGGGTTGTTTTTTGCAGTGTTGCTTTAAAGAAAGTCGGGCTTAGCTTTCCTCCTGCAGCTTTTGCTCTTGAGTCACTTGGTTGGTTTGTGTGATCCTTCAGACGCTGCCCTTGACTTTGCCTCTCAGCCAGCAAGTCTTCAGTTTCCTCACGCAATGCAGCTTTCCGAGGACATCAAAGGCTCTTGTTTCCCAGGCGGGAGTAAACGCAGCCACGAGCCCTTTATTGCTCCAGAAAGATTTGGAAACAGCAGCGTGGGCTTCAGCAGTAACTCTCACTCCCCAGCCCCGGAGAAAGTGACGCTTCTCGTAGATGGCACACGGTTCGTTGTGAATCCACAGATTTTCACTGCTCACCCGGACACCATGCTGGGAAGGTAACTGATGTGATTTCCTGACACGTTCACTGTTCTCTAGGAACAGAAATGCGTGCCGTTTAGCCTGCGTTAGGTGGGAAATGAAGTTTCTATGTTTATGCCCTGTGAAAAAGACAGCAAGCTGCTAAAAGCCCATGTGTGGATTCCTGGGGGCGGGGGTTGCATTTGCAAAGCCAGTGCTGGGGTGCCTCCCCCAGGGAGTAGAGTCTGATGGAACCTTGGGACATGGGAAATGTCCCACTGAATCTCATCCTTATTTCTGTAAACGCCCTGGAAGGTAAGCTGCCTGAGCTGCACAGGTCAGAAATGCTGAAATGAGGGGAGCCCCAGTTTGTGTTTTTTTAATTTTTTTTCTTCTAAGAGAAACCAGAATCAGAGAAATGCTGCACGTGACAAAGAGCAAAGAAGTTACTCTACTGAAGGGCATTTTGCCCACCATCTCTTGCCCGTTGTTGCCCGTTGTCTTGACAGTAGTGCTGTGGCCCATTTTCTAATACCACCATTACCATTCAGGATTTTTGAAACGAATCCTGTTTTTCATGTTGCACTCTGTGCTGCTCCTTCTCACTGTCACCATGTCCTCTCACCATCTGCCCCCAGGACTGGGGTTAGAGCTGAGAGAGTGGAGACAACCTGCAACTGGGGTGTGCATGCTCTTGGACCTGGCCCCAGGAAGTAGGAGTCCTTTTTCTGGCCAGCTATAGGCAGTAATGTGAGGAAGAGGGCTTTTGGGAAATAATAACAATGATGCCAGGCATGGTATTGAATACCTGTAATCCCAGCATTTGGGAGGCTGAGGCAGGAGGGTTGGGTTTTGTTTTTGTTTTTGTTTTGCTTTGTTTTTTGGCTGGGACTGGGGTTTTACCTCTGGGCTTTAAGCTGACGCTCTACTGCTTGAGCTACACCTCCAGTCCACTTTGCTCTGTTTACTTTGGAGATGGGGGTCTCTCAGACTACTTGCTGGACTGATCTCAACCCTTATCCTACCGATCTCAGCTTCCTCAGTAGCTAGGATTACAGGTGTGAGCACTTGGTTAGGGTTGGGTGTTTGAAGTCAGCCTGGATTATGCTGTGAAACCCTGTCTCAAAAAACAACAATAAATAAATAAATATGCTAGCATGAGTGTAGATTTGACTTGGGGAATTTTTATGTACTTAAAAGTAGATTTTGTTTAAAAATCTAACCTCACACAGAACTTGGAACTAATTTGAACTGAACTAGAAATCAGAATGGATTGTACTTATTTGCTGAATTGTAGGCTAAATGAAATCCAGTTATTCAAATATGTGTTATTGAACACACAGATTCACAGTGAGCCATTTTAAACTAGAAACTAAGCCTGTCGTTTTCGAACATGAGTTAAGATGAAAGTAGAACATTAGAGCTGGGTGTGGTGGCACAATCTGTAATCCCAGCACTTGGGAGGCTGAGGTGGGAGAGTTGTAGTTTGAGGCTTGGACTACACAGCGAGACTGTCTCAAAAAAAACTGAAAGAACACGGAAGCCCTTTCCAGATTGGCTCCTGTTTGCAGTATCTAGGTGCTGCCGCCTCCCCAAAACTGTCCCTCCCTGCTGACCTGCTCAGAGCATTGCCTCTGGAAGGGCACATGGTTCTTGGTTCTTTTTACCTAGGGATGGGGAGGCTGGTTCTGAGTGGGCCAGGGTCATCCTGTGAGTTACTAGGGCTGTTCTGCCTCATGCTCCCTGTCCCGTTCCTACCTGTATACTCACACCTGGCCGGTGAGCTGACAGGTGTGGGCCATGGGGCCTAAGAATGGATCAGAGCAAACCATGCCACTGGTACTAGGTGAACAACCCTGAGCCCAAGCCCTACTGATGACAGATGGAGGAGGGCTACATCACATTGTTCACTGTTCTGGTTCATAGCTCTCAGCTAGGCTTTGGAATGTTCCAGAAAAGCCTTGGCGTTCTCGGAGCTACCTTTATCAGGGTAGAGTTCCTACGTGGTGCAGTGATCGGAAAGCCTGTGGTAGGAAGTCATTTGGACTTCTGAGAAGCAGCCGTTCAGGTCAGAGGACACCAGCCAAGCTTCCAGCAGGCCACAGACAAATGGCAGCGTGCCCACTGGGAGTCATGCTCAGACTGCACAGAAAGAGACCACGTGCCAGGCCTTTGTGCTGTCGTCCCATTCCAAGACTCCCCCTGAAGGTCTGGGTCAGTTGGCTGGAGGGATCTGAGAGACCACAGGACGGGGAGCAGTGCAGAAGAGCAAGCCCTCCTCCCTTGCCCTGTGACTTCTGAGTTCGTGCCGAGAGCAGGTTGCCACTGAAACGTGTCAAACTGCTCAGGAGCCGAACACCTGCCCTCCCTTTCTGCTCGACCTGAAAGTGCCATGCACTTGGGTTGCACAAGGGTGCTTTTTCCAGACTCCGTGGTTACGATGCACCAGGCAAGGGGAAGCACTCACACAGCAGCTGTAGTGCAGATCGCCTTATTAGAGTAGAGGACAGCATTGGAACAGAGGAGGGGAAGGAACAGGAAGTGGGGAAGGTTGGGGGCAGAGAAGCTGTCTTCCTGAGCTGTCAGTACACAGTGGTCATAGGCCACATGGGCCACGGGAGGTGAAAGGCGGCCTTGCATCCTTCAGAGTTTCCAAGGCTCTTCCTGCCTTTGCTGCCAGGGAGCTCACTGCAGATGAACCTTGACGACCTGCTGCTTGATGCTTAAAGCTTCGCCCTCTTCTTTTCCTGCCTGAAGGGAATATCTAAGATTTTGGTTCATCTTCTAGGAGTTAAGCTTCCCCTGTGAGACTGGGGTGGCGAATTCTAGATGGGCTGAAAAGGACTCCAGCAGACTCCTGCTGGAGACGGTGACATTGCGCCTGGGTGTTTTTCAGGATGTTCGGACCGGGAAGAGAGTACAACTTCACGCGGCCCAACGAGAAGGGGGAGTACGAGATTGCCGAGGGCATCAGTGCGACTGTATTTCGCACAGTGCTGGTGTGTAGCAGCTTCTGTTTACTTACTTTGTTTTCCTTTTATTTTGTTTTGCTGGTACTGGGCTTTGAACTGAGGGCCTCGTGCTAGCTAGGCAGGTGCTGCACCACTTGAGCCACACACTTTGCCCTCTTTGCCTTGGCTTATTTGGGATGGGGTCTCTCAGTTTCGGCTAGGCCAGTCTGGACTCCAGTCCTCCTACTTCTGTGTTTGTAGCTGGGATAAAGGTTTGAGCACTGTGCCCAGCATTTTGTTGAGATAGGGTCTCATTAACGTTTTGCCTGGGCTGGCCTCAAACTGTGATCCTCCCAATCTGTGTCTCCGGAGTAACTGGGATTACAGCTATGAGCCACCAAGCCCAGCCTTGTTACGTGTGTTTGTTTATTTATCTTTCCATTCTCTTCCCCAGGGGCATGCATGATTATGTGTTGTGCCTTTAAGAGGTCCCACCTACCATGTTAGTGACTTCTGGGTCTCTGGCTTCCATTGTTGCTTACGTAAGCTTGGTCAGTTGTCAGGTTCTGCTGACGTGCCAGGATACCCAGGACCCACTTTGCCATCAAATGCGTCAAGCAGTGTGGCGATGGCACAGAGATCATCACTTTAGAAGAACGAGGGGCAAGCTGGGTTGAACAGTTTTTGACCCATTCTTTACCTGCATCTCTTCTTCCTAATTTGCTCGCAGGATTACTACAAAACTGGCATCATCAATTGTCCAGATGGCATCTCTATCCCTGACCTCAGAGACACGTGTGATTACCTCTGCATTAACTTTGACTTCAACACTGTCCGCTGTCAGGATCTGAGTAAGTGCAGGTGCAGCTGCCGGGTTTCCTCTGGGCTTAGAACAGGAGCCAGCAGCAGAGGCTCCTACTCCATCCCTTCTCCTGCCCCGGGCTGGCAGCAGCTGGAGTGCACAGGGAAATCAGGTGGGGCTTCAGAATCCAGCTTGACCAGGAGGTCAGCAGGGGAGCTCTTCCAAGACTCTTGGGTGGGACCTTGGTGTCAACTTTAACAAAAAGGATAGTAACTGCACATGAGAGGCTCGTTAGTGAAGTCAGACAGCGAAAATTGCCAGTTCTCACCTTCTTATTAACTTAGTTTTTGCTTGGTGAGTTATGATGTGAACCTGCTTGAAATTATAACAATTAACCCTGAAAGATGGGCGCTAACTCTGAGGAGACTCCAGACTTGGTGCTCTTACCAGTAGGAACCTAGGCCTCCTGAATTATTTACAAAGTTACTCCTCAAAGTTCATAATGCACTCCCTGCTGTTTGAAACAAGGCCTCTGGAATCACGATTTCTCTACTGGTTCTACTGTGCACTTAGAGTAAGTCCTTTGGCGTCCCCAGATGTGGTACTGCACCTCTGTGACATCACGTGTCACAAGTCCAGCACATGTTCACATGAGGTTCTGTGAAGGTTGCCCCCAACGATGGTTCCTCTGCTGGAGGATTAATGTTTGGACTGACATTGTGTGTCATTGAACAGAATGGTCAGGGATTAGTAAACATGAGTGAATTAGGGCCGGGGTTGGGGGGGGAGGGGGGGGCGACAACGACATTGTTCAAATCAGCTTAATTACTACCTTGGAGCAGGAACCAGTCTGCCCCTTCCCTGGTATCCTCTTCAGGGATATCAGCTGTGACTGCAGTCCTCTCCACATAGACAGAAGCGTGTTCAGCTACGTCTTCTCTCTGCAGGTGCTTTGCTGCACGAACTGTCTAACGACGGCGCTCACAAGCGGTTCGATCACTACCTCGAAGAACTCATTCTGCCCATCATGGTCGGCTGCGCCAAGAAAGGGGAGCGGGAATGCCACATAGTTGTGCTGACCGATGAGGATTCGGTGGACTGGGATGAAGACCACCCCCCACCCATGGGGGAGGAATATTCTCAAAGTAGGACCATCATGCCGGTGTAGACATTTTCAGAACGCAACACCCTGCCCAGAGCAGCGGGGAGACCGTGGCGCCAGTGCAGACCCTCTGCCAAGTGCCTGCCAAGCGCGCTCACTCGGGGGAACGCCTGGCCATGCAGGTCTCACCTCCATCGAGGGTGTCTCCTGTCCCTGGTGTCAGGACTGCCGATACTGAGGGCACAGACTAAATGAAGCTGTCGTTTCCTCTTGTTTCATTTCACTTTAAATATTTTAGAGTTGGCAATAAATCAAAATGTGAAAGTATAAAAGGACATATTTAAAAGTCTTGCCGCAACCCTGCCCGTCTGCCTACATTTCCTCCTCAGTTTCTTTTGTGTCCTTCCAAGTACGTTCAGAATACATCCATAATCAAATACTTATTTTCCCTCTGCTTTTCAAGTGACGCCATATTACAGTTTTACATCATGCCCTACATAAAAAGCTCCATGCTTTTTTATGGCTGCATGGTATCCCTTTGCACTGATGTCCCGTCACTGGATCAGTCAGTGCTGTTGTAGGACATGCTTTTTCTTGGTGGGGCTAGAGTTTGAGTTCAGGGTGTCACACTTGCTGGGCAGATGCTCTGAGCCTTGCCTCCAGTACTGCCGTTGAATATTCACACTATAAATTGTAGGGCTGGGGACTGAGTTCAAACTCCAGTACCACCAAAAAAACATTTTTTTTAATAATTTAAACTATAAATTGTAAATAGTGAATGGTGACTATCTCTTTAAATATGATCTTTTTACATAAGTATAAGTGTGTGTGTTCCTAGAAATGGAAGGTCCAAAGCTTGTGCTTCTATACTTTTGATAGATGTTGCCAGATTCTTCCCCATAAAGGTGGTACAATTGACACAAAGCAGTGTGTGGCGGGCTTGTTTCCTGCCACCTTACAGTACTGGCGTGTTTAAAACTTACTGAGCTGGCCAAGCAGCTCATGTGATAAGAGTACCCACCTAGCAAGCATGAGGCCCTGAGTTCAAACCCCAGGACCGCCAAAAGAAAATAAATAAGTAACCAGAGCAAAGTTGCCTGGAGGTGTGGCTCAGGTAGTAGAGTACCTGCTTTGTGAGTGTGAAGCCCTGAGTTCAAACCCAGTTCCTGGCAGAGGTTGCACAAACACATTTGTCAAAACTCATCAAACGACTGGGGTGGGGCTCAGGGGTAGAGCACTTGCTTAGCACGTGCAAGACCCTGGGTTCCACTCCTAGCACACAGACACCCAAACAAAATCCATCAAACTATGCACTAAGACGGGGCACGGTATTGTTTGGAAATGTCTCCATAAAGTTAAGCTTAAAAACACCCTGGGACTGGCGGTATGGCTTAAGTGGTAGAGAGCCTGCTTTGGGAGTGCAAAGCCCCAAGTTAAAACCGCACCAAAAACAAAAGGCAGAAATCTTTTTTTGCCATTCCTTAATAGGTTTTAAAAAAAAAAATTAGCATCTTATAATTGGCATGACTTTAATTTGCATTCCTTATTTCATGAGTTTTTAAACATCTTTTTAATTACTTTTTAACATTCAATCTTTGACCCATCTGGATCCTTTTGGCACTGGCAGTCAGCACATCTTTTGTGGTTTGTTTCTGTTAGCTTATCTCCTTCCTCTTAACTCAGAGCTTCACTCCATGACTAACCTCAGATTTTGTTTTGTTTTGGTTTTTTCAGTTCTTTACAGCTCCAAGCTGTACAGATTCTTCAAGTATATTGAGAATCGAGATGTTGCTAAAACAGTGTTAAAGGAACGAGGCCTGAAAAACATTCGCATCGGAATTGAAGGTAAAAACATCCCAGTCATGACTCAGGTTACGGACTGTGAATAGGGTGGGTCTGTGGCCACAGCTCTGACCTGAAAACCCAACTTCCAGAGGGGCCGGAGTGCAGGCATCCGTGAAAGCTGCATCTCTGCACTGCAAGGAGTCCTCATTTTGTTTCTCTTTATTCTCGTTTCTGCAGTTCACTTGTTTCCAGTTGAAAATGCTTTGAAGCAGCCTCAGAAATAGGTTTGGGTTTTTACTCCTGGATACAGAGCAGGGGGGCAAGGAACCTGGTGTGTGGTGGGGCTTCTGGGCTCACCAAGCAGGAGGACCATTCAGCCAGTAGTATTTTTTTTTTTAATTATTTATTTTTGCATTTTTGGGGTTTGAACTCAGGGCCTACAACTTGAGCCACTCCAGCCCTTTCTTTGGTTGGGTTTTTTTGAGATAGGGTCTTGTGAACTGTTTGCCCAGGCTGGCTTTGATCCACGATCCTCCTGATCTCTACCTCTTGGGTAGCTGGGATTACAGGTGTGAGCCACCAGTGCCTGATGAATTAGTTGCTTCTAAGGACAAAGTTCTGCTAACCTGAGGGTAAAAGGCGTAGATCAGGAACTTCTCACTTCCCATGTAGGTTCTCTTGCTGTCTTCAGATTTGGGAGGAAGAAAATAATGACACCAGAGTGAGCAGTTTGTCAGAATCTTGAGAACAATCCTTTTCTCTGTTTCAGGTTACCCTACCTGTAAAGAAAAAATTAAGAGAAGACCTGGTGGCCGGTCTGAAGTTATCTATAATTATGTGCAACGGCCCTTTATCCAGATGTCATGGGAAAAGGAGGAAGGAAAGAGTCGCCATGTGGATTTCCAGTGTGTCCGGAGCAAATCGCTCACTAACCTGGTAGCTGCTGGGGAGGACATTTGGGAGGACCAGGAGGCACTCATGCACCACCCGCCCCAGGTGGACGAACTTGACCGGCTAAACGCTCCCCTTTCTCAGATGGCTTCCAGTGACGCTCAGGATTAGGGCCAGTTGTGGGTCCGCCCTCATGTAGCTCTGTGTGGGGCTCTCCCGCCAGGCCGCCCCATATTCCCTGTGCTTTGTCCTCCCCATAATTAACACGTCCTTTTCAGGAAGTCTGTGCCTCTGCTAGGGGGTTGAAGAAGCACTTTGGTGATGGAGCTAACAGCTTTGCAGTAGCCCTGGTAACTTGAAAATTTGGGGTCTGGTGCTGTTCACTGAGTCTTTGCAGAACTGCAGAAGCAGGAAAGGAAGTTAAAGACTCCTGTCACCTCACATTTAGGAAAGCAGTTCTTTCCTTTATAATCAGAGGGTGGTGTTTTGTTTTATACCAGGCAAATTGCTTAGTAGCAAAGGGACCAAACGTAAAGGGAGGCAATCTCTAGCTGTAAAAACAGGCCCTGGTGACTCACTGGAGGTGAATGACACCATTCCTGGGGCCTCTGCACCCACACTGCAGCTAGGAAGAGCTAGGCCTGCCTTCAAAATGTCCGGCAGGAAAGTTCTAAGAGCTTACATTCAATTTTATTTCTCATGAATGCAAAGCGCAATCTAACACCATGCAAGACAGGCGGTTTGGCAGGAGAACGACCTTGGTGTTTGTGAAAAGTTTTTAGCTTCAAGGTTTGTAACCCTCAACAAATCGATGGTTCACTTGGACAGAAACTCACAACTCAAGTGGAAGAACTTCTCTCAGTCAGACCAGTGGGATCCTGGCATGGAGGTCTTGGTGCCCTCAGGCAGCACATTGCTGTAGGTGTGGCCGGGAGACCAGAGGGAATGGCTTCGAGGCTCTCAAGATGAGGACAAGAATTTCTCACAAGTGCTCAGTGTCTTAACAGAGTCATTGGAGCTCCAGGGAGAAAGCACTTGGGGTGCATTGGGTAGGAGACGCCACCTGCACAAGCTCTGTCCCAGTACCTGTTCTTGTTATACCATGCAATCTGGGTTATCAGTACATTGCAGTTTTTGAAATTGCCTATTGACTGCTCACACACTGGGTAATAAAGTGATACTAATGCCATCTTCAAAGGAGAGGCGAGGTGAAGGGAGCTGGGTCTGGGCCCCCGTGATCTTGTTTGATGTCAGCTCTTTGAGCAGTGTGGGGTAGGTGACAAGCCAGGTCACTCCCCAGCCTGCACTTCTCTCACACTTCCTTGCTTACTAGCAGCACAGCTAAAATTTAGAGTTCAGAGCCAGACAGATGGGTTTGGGATTATCTCCCATTTTCTGGTGGAAACTGACCTAGTCCCCAGGCCTGGGCATTGACCCGTCACAGACAGCAAGCACATAGTTTTCTTCAAATGCCTTGAGGACAGAACATGACTTTTGTCGTTTTGTGTGTTTGCGGTGCTGGGGGCAGCACCCAGGCCTTGCTCATGGCAGCAAGTGCTCTACCACTGAGCTACACCCAGCCCTCAAACTACTGGTTTTCCTAAATTCCATCCCCATAAGGTACTGGAGGCAAGCTACTTAGTTCCACCTCACAACTGCTCTAGTCACAGTCCCCCAGAACTCAAGTCAGGTGTTCAAAACCCCTCTCCCCAGGCTTGGAGAACAGGAGTGTTCTAAGCAAGCATGTCCTCTGGGTGACCAGCATCCCAGTAGAAACCCACAGGTTAAACTGAGCCATCTTCACCTAGTTTTTCTGATGATCATTGGCGTCTATTTGCAAGGCAGATGACCAGGGTTAATTTAAGGTTAAGGTTAGGGTTAATTGTAATAAATTAACATTTCTGCAAAAGTGATTGGTGCATATTGGGGTCTGGTTTGGCCTTGACCTCGGTACCGTAGTCATGCCCACTAGCAGTGAGCGGTCCAGATCATCGCTGGTGCTCCTTTGTGGTTCTTTGGACTTCATGGTATTACAAAGAAAATGTAAGACACTGTCCGTGTACTAGCGACTTGCGTAACTGCTGTTACATCGATGTCTTATGTATTGTTAACATCTAAGTGTGTATGTGACAGCCAATGATTTAAAACTGGTTGGTTCTAATGTGCTTTTGGCCCCAACCTATGGGGTTTGAGTGAGTGAAAGTCTGGAGGTTAATCCGCCAGTCTCGCCAGGTTACCCAGCAATGGGAAAACGAGACCGCAGGTTTCTTCTGGAAGAGAGGTTTCCTCTACACCCCAAGCCCTGCCCAGACCTCAGCATCGCCACGCCTGTCCTGTTCCCAGGGCCAGGATGCCTCGATGGCAGGACCTCCCAAGGCAGGCAGGAACCGGTGCTGGGTTGTGGTCGTCCCCCTCAGAGTCAGGTACTGGCCACATAATCCAGAGGTATTTCTCCCTAAGAAAAAGGTGCAATGCAGGTGTGTTTCTTCTAAGTGCCTAAATAAGTAAGCCAGGCTGTAGGTCTACAGGAACATTTCCCTAAGAAGTTGTTTTACCCAGAGTATCTTAGGGCATCTTAGCAAGCCAAGATGAACCTGAACTTGAGGTTTCAGATCCTGAGTTTGTGTCTGCATCATTTCTTGTAATGTCAGAAACATTTGCCACAGAGGAGCTGGAGAGAGCGAGGAGGCAGGTGTGAAGTCATATCAGATTATATCATGGTTTCTCGAAGTAGAAGAAAGGTTTTGAAGGAATGACAGCAAAAAGGGTAAGGAAGATAGAAGGATCTAGATTTGCTGCACAGAATGCAAAAGCCAACAGGACAGTGACAGCCGATCAGGTCTAGAAAACACTGGATAAGCTCCAAGGAAGACGTGCTTGCAAAGTGTTCCAAAGGCTCTGTCTTTAAATCAACATTCAGAACACAGGCTTTAACTTCAAACGCCATAATACAGTGCGGAAATTTTTTTTAAAAAAATCAAGGGTTTTTAGTAATATATTCAATGCCTCTTCTTGCCATCATTTTGAAACATAAGATGGGCATAGTGAGCTCAGAAAATAAGCCTGCCGCCTTCCTGAGACAAGGCTGCATTTGTGTTCTGGTTAGACTCTTGGAGGTTTTGCCTCTTTTCTTTGTATTTCTTTTAACGTTGCACTTGTTCACCTACCAGTGTTTACGACATCCTATATTTGGGAAGCTTTTTCTATAATAAAATATTATCATTTGTGTGACTGTAGTTTTTTGTGTTTTAACAGGGACTTGCAGGGGTGATGCCTGTTGCCTAGAACAGAGCCTCTTTGTCACAGAGAGGGACTGCTCATGTTCCTCTACCCTGTTCTTTCCTCATAACTCAGGTTCCTGACCCTAAAGGTTCTTAATTTGCATTCAAGATCTCAGGACAGCCAGGAGCTGGTCATCCTAGCTACTTGGGAGGCAAGAGACTAGGAGGATCAAGGTTAAAGGCAACCTGGGCAAAACCCTGTCAATGCCCAACACAAAAAAGCCTGGCACAGAGTGGCTCAACTGGTAGACTGCTTGCCTAGCAAGCATGAGGGTGTAAGGTAAAACCCCAGTACTGCCAAAAAAAAATAAAATCCCAGGGCGCTCAAGTGCAACTAACCCTGACTCGAAGTCAAGTGTAAGCAAAGCTGAAAGCTAAGGAGGCCTGCAAGCGTCCATACCATGCTTGGGTTCCACTCAAGTGAGGGACAGTGGCAGAAGTGAAAGGTGGGCAGGTGCCTCTGGCTCACCTCTTGCTCCCTGTTAATTTGGCTGCCCTCTGCCAAGAGCCCACTGGCCTGGGAGCTACTGGAAACTCCATGGGTTGCTAAAGCAGGGCTGGGCTCTACTGCAGAGAGAACTAGCTGGAAAGGGGACAGACCAGACCCAAGGAGGTCAGCCAACCAAATCCTGCAACAACTGGGTAAGGTGCCGAGGTCATTAACATTTATTAAAGGGAGCCACACGCAAAGGCCCAAAAGATCCTGGCTTGGATGTCTGGTAGGCAAAACTAGAAACAGGCCTGTGGGAGCAAGAGGAGCTCCGCTTGGCTGGCTTTGTTAGAGCCTCTGTCAGCCCTCCAGATGGCAAGTTCTAGTATGTACTTGGCTGCAAGGGACCTAAACTTCTAGGGAGGGACTGAGGTCAGTTAGGTCAGTGGGTCTTTGAAGACCTCCACACAAAGGTGGTAGCCAAAGCCATAGGAAGGGAGAGGCCACCAAAGATGACCTGAGTGCCCAGAGGGCAAAGGCATTGCTCTGAGGAGCACCACCATTCAAGTGATGGGCAAAGACTCCCAAGAAGGAAGTGAGGATGGGTAGAATTCAAGTTCAACAGTGCCCTTCAGAGCTGGTGGAGTGGCTCAAGTGCTAGAGCACCTACCTAGCAAGCATGAGGCCCCGAGTTCAAACCCCAGTACCACGAAAAAAACTGCGCATGCATCAGGGAGATGGAATGAGGACAGAGACAGCAGTGGCTATGGGAGCTGGGACACGTGTGGCCAAAGGAATGATTGTAAAATTGCAACACTAGCATGTTTTCTACATGGGCTAATTAGCACCCAAGTGGGACAGACAGCAGACTGGTGGGCTGAGTGGGATGGAAACAAGGACGTAACAGAGGCAAGTGCAGGCATTCTTCAGGCCGTTCTTCAGGAGGCAATGCTTGCTTAGGTGTATTTCCACGCAGCCACCACGGCACAGCCGTCCCTTCCAGGCTCGGAAACCCTTTCCTTCTACCCAGTCACTGCTGCTTCAGTGAAAGCATCGGGAGGCTTCCAAAGATCACTCAACTGGGGGCCCTTGGTTGCATTGACAACAATAGTGTCACGGTTGACACTGCATCCCACAAAGGCACTTAGAGGGTGCAATTCCCTCCTCCAACTGATCTGAGTTCAGAACAAATGGGCCCCAACTGTATGCCTGGGGTGTCCTGTAATGTGCTGTACTTATGGATGCTTAAAATGTTTGGGCAAGATGTTTTTCTCTAAAAAGAGTAAGTGAAAAAACATCAGGAATACTGCCTTTTAGGTCAGTGCTACTTTGGCAGGCAGGTCATTCCAGGGAAATGTACGAAGCAGGAAATGAAGTACCCTTCACTGCATCCTTTTGAGTTCAATTAAAAACATCATTTTGGTTACAACTGAGGCCCAAAAGAGACACAGGACACGGTGACCTGGGAAATGTGCTTCCCACAGGAGTGTTCAGTGATCAATGGCAGAAAGTAATTCTAAAAAGAAAAAGATACTAAAAAAAAAAATTCTGATACACTGTTGAATCTTGATTCAAGAGTGAATTCGTGCCACGTATGGTGCCACATGCCTGTCATCTCTGCACTCTGAAGACTGAGGCAGGAAGATCACAAATTCAAGGCCAGCCTGGGTTACAGTGAGAACCTGTCCAAAAAAAAAAGAGAAGACTGAATGCCACCAGTACTCGGTTCCACATGAGTATGTAGTGAAGCTGTTAATATAAAAGAGTTTTAGTATTTTTTAACTTCCCTGATGAGGTAGGAAATGGAATTTTCTGTGAACAGGATCAACACTGAACCAGTATTTCTCCAAATGTTTCTTGGTAACATCCACTCATCCTGACTACATTTACCTTCTCTCTGCCTACAACTTCTACTCCAAGTGGCCTGGGCCTCTCCCTTCTTGCCTGTGTCTGAGGCTCCTTCACCCACAAAAAAGGTGAAGTGGTTCAGAGCAGCACTCCTAGTATCCAACAGTTCAGAACAGACCCCTGCTCTGCTGGAAATGGAGGCAGAGAAGACCCATCTTGTGAGCTTGTGAGACTTCTGGTCATCCCCAGACTGGGGGGGGAAATAGCGCTAGGCTCTAAACAGCTGTGCAAAGGCACCTTTGTGCTGTTTATTTTTGTGGTACTGGGGCTTGAACTCAGGACCTAAATCTTGAGCAACCCACTAGCCCTTCTTTTATGATGAGTTTTTTTAAGATAGGGTGTCCTGAACTCTGTTTGCCCAACTGGCTTTGAACCGTGATCCTCTTGGTCTCTGCCTCCTGAGTAGCTGGAATTACAGGCGTGAGCCATTGGCGCCCGGCCTTTGTACTGTTGGCAGCACTTTTGTCCATAGGTGTGCCTGACCTTACTGTGAAGGGAAGGCCCACTGCCCCATAACCCAAGTGAGGCAGAAAAGAACGTGTGTGGTGCCATCAGAAGTTTCTCTGTATGGACACCAATTCAAAGACTAGCTCCATGAACACATAAGAGCTGAGGACAGCCACCAACGATGACAACAATGTTCTGATGCAGTACTCTGCTTCTTTGAATCATGAACTTTAAACACAACACAGATCGCCACTGCTGTTGTCACAGTTTATTCAGAAATTTAACAGTTAAAATACGGACATTTCCCCTAAAACAAACCATCCCGTCACTCCCACCACGCAGACTCTACTGCTACTCCAGTTACTTCTCCACTGGTGCGCATCTCACACTCATGCGAAACACCCAACTACTCGGTAACACGGAGACTACAAGGTCACACAAAAATCTCACTGACTTTCTCTTCACTAGCAGGCTGCGAGTGAGAGGCTAACCACTGCCTTCATCCAGAGTTAAGACTTCCCTAGCATTCTTTTACCTCCATCTAAGACGCTAAAACACAAGCAGTCTCACTTCCAACTATAACTCTGAAATCCATTTTCCCTTTCTGAATGACTGAGCTAGGACAAAGCTGACTTCATAACCTTAAGACTGGCAGAAGGCAAGGTGTAGCTTGGCCACGATACTCTGCAAGAGGCAGTTACCACACAGGTGCAAATGATGTGTTAAGAGTTATCAAAACTTAAAAAACTAATAATGCATTAAGATGGAACCTCCACAATTTTCTGACGCAGAAAAAGTCCTCTAGAGGTGGCACCAGCCATGACAGAGAAGGCACTTTGTGCTAAAATTCAGTCTCGTGAGAGAATGCCACAGCGGAGAGGCCAGGTCAGCCCAAGCTGCAGGCAACCCTTTTGGTTGGGGGGGGAGTACCCCCCGGAAGGCATCTACAAAGGAAAAATTTGTAATCATAACTCCAAGGCAAAACGGCTATGCAAATCAGGGAGAAGAGAAATACCAAGGGAAAGAAAAGACAAAACACGGCTGCACCAGGGACCAAGGAGTGAGCTTCACAAGGCCCTGTCCACAAGATGGCTGTGCACTTTCTATCAGGCTAGTTCTGACACTTCCAAGGAGCTTGTGGAGATGGTGCAATGCAGCACCTTAGCTGAGAAAGTTTCAGGCCACACGCCTCCACCTGGTCCTTGCTATACTCCCAGGAACACACTAAGCTCCTGTTGGCAGCACTTGTAGGTCAACAACATCCACCTTAGGGTCTCCTGATACACCAGTGAAGAGAAATTGAGGGTCTTCCACTTGATCCACAGCTTCCTGGCAGTGCCCAATGATGTCGTGGACCTCCTAAGAGTAGCAGTGGTCGTTGATACTCCGAAGAACAGCAGTCTTTTGGATGGCTGGGAGGGCAGAGATAAATCAGTGGATTAAGGGTCTCTGTCCTAGTACCATAAATAAAGTGCACCATGAATGACGGCTATGGAAAGCCACTGGCGAGGCTGAGGTATGGGGAGAACACTACCCTCATCCCCCTCAGAATGGGATCAGTTCTTCAGCCACAATGCTGGCTGCTGACGCACACGTTCATTATTGCTGTATTTCCTTAGTACTATGGAACTTTTAGCTATACAAAGAAAAGAAATACTTGATGGGCTTGGCAGGTGGCATGTCACCACATCACAGGAATTGGCTGATATTGGGTTATCTCAGTAATGTTGGCTGAGGGCTGTTTTATCCCCTTCTGATGAACTTAGGAAAATTCAAATTCTTTTTAAAATGCCTATCAAATTGGCTCATGATGCTCCTAAAGAAGCAAGACAGCTATTTGTGGCCGGTACAAAAATGGTTCTCTCTGTTCCATCAGTTTTCAGGTGCATCATGAAGGAAATCCACTTTCTATCGCATTTCAGGAGACCTTACTGTGACATATTGATGGGTTCTATAAACTTCTTGGAAGCACTTTCAAAAGAGTGTGAGAGGAAAACCACCATGTTGTACAAAGAACTCTGCTCCATTTGGATTCCACACAGGGTCCTACTTTGCTGCTTTCATGTAGGAAGGTATGGCGCCCCTTGCAGTCAGACCCTCGAAACGTTTGTAAGTATAATTGATGAAGACCCAGTCTTTGTTCTTGTAGTCAGTCTCAGGGTGATTACTCGTGGCCACTGGGAAAGAAAGACATGTGGACTCACTGCCTTATGCCAATGGGCTACTCAGTACAGAAAACACGACATTGTGAAGAACTCACCATGTTTCTATTTGGAAAAAGATATTTTCCTCTGTGCAAATTTCCTACATTTGCTTGTCTATGTTTTTGAACCTCAAATTTCTCATATTTCATAATACTTTCAAAGTTTTAAATTCCCATTTCTTTTCCATTTATCTAGCCTTTAATATAATAAATTACGAAAGGACAGATTTTTGTGACTTATCTACCCAGCTCCACATGAAGTTTGTACTCAACACTATTCAACAGGGCCTTGCCACTACTCAGTCCTGGAGAAATGCTTCCCAAGACCCAGAAGGACTGACGGTCTTCTCCACATCCTCTACCCTGACTTGCAACATCCGCAACATCCCCCAAATTGGGGTAGGGAGAATAATGCGACTCTAAAGCAGCTGAGGCAGTGCAGGTGGAGTTACCTGTTGGCTTAAGAATATCAGATTCTGGAAACTCATCAAAGTTTGAGGTATCATCAATGCTTCTGATCTCGATAGATATTGCAGCAGGTCTCTCTCTGCCAAGAACAGACATGCCAAAAATGTCTACGGTTAGCATTCACAGGGATTACAGTACTCCAGGCTTTCTCCAGCAAAAGACTCTGGCTTGACATGGAAAGACTGTTCACGGGCACGGAGGCTTTATTTTCTTCAAAAAGCTTATGAATATTGACCAACTGAGCCAGCTGACTGCATCCAAACAAAATTAATGAAGATGAGAAAAATAAAAGTAACTCAACCATTCCCAGCTAGAAAGACAGACAGGAACAAGAAGGGGAAAGTACAATTCCTAGATGATGTACTCTCTTGATAACCTGCCCTTTCTACTGAAGGGGAACTTAACTGCTAAACACCCCCTTATGTCTGGCTCTATCCTTTTTCCACTGGAGGCACCAACCAGCATGGTGGCTAAAAAATGTGACAAAAAAGGAGGTAAAGATAAAAATCACAAGGAAGCTGGCTGGATGGCACACACCTGTACTCCCGGCACTTGGGAGACTGAGGGAGGAGGATCCTAGGTTTCAGGTCAGCCTGGATTATAGAGTAAAACTCTGTCTCAAAATAAAGGTCTGAGACTCCAGCAGGCAACCTAGGCTCTCAAGGCCTCTGGAAGCACCCTACCCACTCCCAGAACAATCTCCTTTTCTTTCTCTCGCCATTACCCTCTGCATGGCCCCTCCTCCTTCTACTCCTTGTTCCTTTACCTCCCAGTAACAGGCTCTACCTTGTGGACAGGGATAACTCCACTGGTGGCCCTCCATGCTAGAGAGGTTGGGTAAAACAAAGACACAGCGTGCTTCCCAAACACTCTCTTCACCATGCAACCCAAAGTTCACCTCACTTTGCAAATAACTGTCGGATTCAATACAGTCCATGGCACATGGCTGCAAAGAATCCCAACTCCAGCTAGGCGCCAGTAGCTCACACCTGTAATCCCAGCTACTTGGGAAGCTGAGACTGGGTGGATCTGTTTGAGGCCAGCCCAGGCAAATAGTTCATAAGACCCTATCTCCAAAATAACCAGAGCAAAATGGACTAGAGGTTCTACCAATCAAGTGGTAGAGTGCCTGCTTTGCAAGGGCAAAGCCCTGAGTTCAAACCCCAATTCCACCCCCCCCAAAAAAAAAAAAGCAGCCCAACTCCAATCTTCACCATGAATGAAAATCTAGAAAACACCCAAATTCCTAAGAAACTCTTCCATTACTTAGCTTACCAATGATAGTCCTGATATATACCTGATATGCTCCCAGTCAACACCTTCAAAAAAAGAATTACTTTTGATTTCCTCAACTCCAGGGGCTCCGATTCTATGTTCCCATTCACAGCAGAATCTGAAAAAGACAGGCTTTTCAGCATACTCAAGCAGCTTCTTCAGGAAAAGAAAGGAATCTCTTTCTCCTCCCCTCCCTCTCTAAGGAATGGAAGGAATGGAAGGAAGCAGGGTGCAGACCCAGGAAATAATGAAAAATTTTTAAAAAATGGATTCATTCATGCCAAAAAGTCTATGCTTTCTGATACCTCAAAATTAGATCCTTGGCTTTCTCAGAGATGGGAACTTCCGGAGGAAAAGTCAAAGTTTCTTTCCAGTTCATCACCTTCTTGTATGTCTCCTGAGGGGTCTCAGAACAGAAAGGTGGATAGCCTGTAATACAAAAGGAACTTGGGAGCGTTTACATCCAGGAACACTGAACCTGACTTAGCCAGTCTCCTTAACACAGTTCTCTGTGCCTTTAACAACTACTCAATACCTCTGCAAGGCCATTCCTCCATGACACAGACAGATTTTCCACTCATCCCAGGAAACATCTAAACCAATTTCTCATTTCTCCCCAAACTTGTAAACCCAAAGTGAAGTTGTGCCTCTGGTACCACTAGGAGGCCAGCTAATAGTTGGAGCTGGGAAAAGAAAGGAGGACATAAGAAGAGTTGCAGGAGTGGGGAACACCATGCCCAAAGAAGAAATGAGGATGAAACATCATTTAAAAATGAGTCTGTCTAGGAATAGCTGGAGACGGGTAGAGCAGCACACAGCTGGATTGAAAAGCACAGGTTTTAAAAGTGACTGCCATGCCTCTTCTTGAGAGTACAGGCAAGAGAATAACCCTCAGATACCTACTACCCAATCTCCGTCCACACAGGGTGTCCACAGGCATCCATCCAGCGTTCCCAAAGACCACACAACTGCACAACTCCACACCCAGGCACCCACATAACTCACTCTCCTAGTGCTCAATGGCACAGGGCCACCCCACAGATGTGTCCCTTGAATTCACAGACACACTGTCCAAATAAGAGGGCAAGAGAGTTTTCAAAACTGGGAAAAAGGGCAGCAAATCACAAGTCAAGAGGAAGTAAGGCAGTGCCCGGTTTAAAGCATTTTACACATTACAGACGTTTACTAAGTGGCAGTGGCTGACAGAACTGTCAGATGGAGAGGAGGGATGCACAGGAGGAAGACAAACACAGCACAATCAGATCAGCAAGGTAACACAGGCACCAGAAGCCTAAAGTACACTGGGGCACGCTTGACTGAAAGAGCTGTCTCCCCAGGAAGCTTTACTTTGAAAGACATGAAGGGAAAAGCGCCTAGCTCACCCCCTACTGAGATATTCTAACATCAGAGCAGAGGGCATTCTGGGTGCACCAAACAGTGCTCTGGAAACATGCAACTTACCGATAAGCATCTCATACATGATCACCCCAAGCGACCACCAGTCACAGAGCTTGTTGTACCCGGTCTGCATGAACACCTCGGGAGCAATGTAGTCAGGAGTGCCTACTGTGGAGAAGGCCTGAAACACGTACCACACATCAGGGAGGGACAGCCAGGAAGGGGGTGCCCAGAGTCCTATCCTAGACACCAAAGGCTACATGTACCACCATGAGTTACCCCAAAAGTAAATAAGCAAATGGTCTAGTGGCTTAATGCAGCTTGATTTGCCAGAGCACTTTCCAAAACAAACAACAGCTTTATTAATGAGGCAGAAAACCCTCCCTAAACATAGCCAAAGCCTGTAGCTCACCACGGAATTTACTGAGCCGTTAGGAACAGGCTCTGGGTTCAATATGTGAGTGAGCTTATTTAATCCGGATACGTTGCTACAAGGAAAACTTTGCCAGCCCAACACTGCAGACAGAACTTGCCTCCAATCTGCCTTTGCCCAAGGCCTCAGAACTAGTTAACTAGCAGAGTCCACTTTGGAAATTAAATATCTTGTGCCAAAACCCTCTTTCTACCAAATATACTCTTTAGTTTGAGAAAATAAAGGGAAATACTAAAAGCCAAAGCTAAATCCTATAGGTCAAATGGTCATAAATGTCTACTTTCCAAACAATCATTTCTGTAAATAGTGGAAAACTTTCTAAATTCAAGGACTCCACTCTAATAAGCTAGGCGAAGTGCAGTCAAGTCTTCCGAGACACTTGACATTGGAGCGTGGGCCAAGCAGAAGATGCTCCCACCAAGGAGATACAAATATTACACAGCCTTGAAAAGAAAAAACTGCACTTGAAACCCTGGCTTCGAACCCCAGTCTCACCAAAATAAATAAATGAAATAAGAAATTACAGTTGTGTTATCCTTTTAAAATAAAATGAACTATTACAAACATGCAGAAGAAAATCAGACAATGCAAAACACATGTACCACCCCATATTAGAGGTTAATAATCCGCCATGTTTATCTCAATCATTTGTCTTTTTTAAAAGATACAAAACTCTAAGCTGGGCACCAGTGGCTCACACCTGTAATTCTAGCTACTCAGGAGGCAGAGATCAGAGGATCAAGGTTTGAAACCAGCCCAAGGAGCAAACAGCTCACAAGACTCTATCTCGAAAAAGCCATCACAAAAAAAGGGCTGGTGGAGTGGCTCAAGGTGTAGACCCTGAGTTCAAACCCCAGAACCAAAAAAAAAAAAGAAACAAAACTCTAGGAACAATGAAGGCTCTGCCTTAAATATCTCCACCTTTCTCCCCAATGAGGTAAAAAAACAAACAAAAAAACACCTGAAGTTGCAGTGTCACTCACACAATAATTATGTACTCCTTGCTTTTTGTGCATTTAGCATGTAGTAAAGGGTTTCATACTACATTGCATCAGTCTTCAATGTCACAACTTGTGTTTTTCACTCAACATTTTGGTAAAGCTTTGCAACCAAAGCTTTAGGCGCACCTCCAGCCCATTTTGCTCTGGTTATTTTTGGAGACGTGAACTATTTGCCTGGGCTGGCCTCAAACCATGACCAATCTCAGCCTCCCAAATAGCTAACACCACACCTGACTCATAGGACTTCTTTACAAATTCAGGACACTTTTTAATCCTTAATAGTTTTACATATTTGAAAATATCTTCTTTCCAGGCTTATTATTCTTATGGCTTTTCAAATGAAATAATATTTGTCACATACCAAAAATAAGTATTATATCACATACATATATATGGAGTTATCAAATTAAGGCACAACAATGAAATGAATACCCAGGAGTTTAACAAAGGAAACAAATACCAACACCACTAACTCTGTGCTCCTCTATATACAACGCCTCCTCACCATCTAACCACTATGCTGACTTCATGTTTAACAAAAAAAAGCCTCTACTTGTTGAAAGAAAGTTCAATTCTGCAAATGACTCTCTGAATGAGATCTTACTTAGTCTGGGCTTTATAAAAGTGGTGTCGTTCCCATGCGGTTTCTGCACCTGAGCTGCACATGTAGCTGTAGTGGGCCATCTTCCCTGCTGTGACACACACCATTCCTAATGTAACCATTTCTCAGTGGATGTACACTGAGTTAGTTATTTTAAAGAAAATGCAAGAAACCTTCTTCTACAGGCCGCCTGGCTCAGGACCTGTGATTTGGGTAGAACTGCAGGATTTCTGTACCATATGGTTTCTCTTCATCTGTTTATGTCTTTTGATACAGAGAAATCTTTTTCCTTTAAAGTACTAAAATAAGTCAAATTTTCCTTGATTTATGCTAGTTGTATCTTATGTAAGAAATAATGCCTTGCTCTTAAATCATAAAAATGTTGCTTTGTACTTTCTAAAATTTTATTTTCCTTTTAGAATTGATTTTTGTGAGGACTATAAAGTAGGGAATCCAGTTTTTCCATGTAGCTAAATCATATGTAATTTTATTTAACTATTAAATAACATAAATGCTGTTTTTTATATTTTTTTAAGCTTTAAAGTCCAAAATAGTCAAGCACCCATTGCTCATGTCTGTAATGATAGCTACTCAGGAAGCAGAGATCAGGAGGATCGTGGTTCGACGCCAGCCCTGGGAAACAGTTCTTGAGACCCTATCTCAAAAATACCCAAAACAAAACAAGGTTGGCGGAGTGGCTCCAGTGGTAGAGCGCCTGCCTAGCAAGCACTAGGCCCTGAGTTCAATCCCCAGTGCCATAAAAAAAATGAAGTCTGAAATAATGATTGGGCCCCTCTCAAGAATCAAAAGTACTTTCTCTCTAATCATAAAGGAAAGAAACCATAGAAATCTGTTAACTTAAGAAGATGAACATTAAGTCTTATTCTTGCTTAATCAAAGATTACTTAAAAAAAAAAATTCTGTTGCCACATAAAAACAAATACTTAAAAAAAAAATTCTGTTGCCACATGAAAACAAATCCTTCAAGTTACTAAGGCATTAAAAAAAACCCTTGCATTTACAAAGTATAGCCATAAAGAGTGAGAGTTCTCACTGTGGAGCTGCCCCCTCACTCATTCACTGTACCGTGTGTACTATGTGGAGCCTTTCCAATTGGAGAGCACCTCCTCCCAGACCTCCACACTGGGGCACCCTTCACTTCAGCCCTCTTAAATCAGCATCTCTTGTTTACTTCGTGTCTAAGTGTTTATAGCATTGTGAAAGCCATAATCTAGAAGAACTCTACTGGGCAGCAGTCAATCTCAATCAAAATGTGTTCAACCTATGACTTCATTTTATGGCATCATGGGAATAAATCAACTTTATTTCCGACTTAATCATGTCTTTAAATTCTACCCTCAGCATTAAATAAACTTACAAAGATTAGATATTTACTTGCTCATCATCTCTGAACTCTGGTTTAATAGCTTCAAGCTGACTCATATCTACTAGCTTATCAGTTACTGGGGCCTAAGATTAGCCCATTAGGCCCACAGACTACACTAAACTCAACCTAGAGCAGTCACTCACTGAGCATTAACGAACGCACATCCTCAGTGCAGTGCTAGCTGAATGGGCTCCCGTGGGAAGGGCCCAAGACTGAGAGGAGGCTTCATTCTCTTCACATTATGAAGAGGGAATGTGACCATACCTTAATTTTTACGGTCCCATTTCTACTATAAGTAGAATAAAAGGCAAAAAAACCTAAATTACAGCATCAGGGCCTTAAGTTTACTCATATTTAAAAAAGAAAAAAAAACCTCTCAAAATGATATTTAACTACAGATGTGTAAATTGTGAAATCACCTTCCTTTCTGATGACCCTCTGGTACGTCAAAGAACAAAGCTTGTCTAAGTAATTAACCTAAATTACCCGCCAAAACAAATGTTAGCACAGTAACCAAAGGTTAAATCCTGCTCTGCTTTAAAAACAAGAAAAAAGGGAGAAAGCAAAGAGCAAAGCAAAAAGGACTCAATGTATAGTTCAGGTGTATCGCACATCTGTAGCAGGTATGAAGGCTGTGGGTTCAAATCCTCAGGACCGGATTAAAAAAAATAGTAATAATCGTGGAAGATTTCTTACCTTTTGCTGGCTTTTTTTTGGCAGCACTGGGGTTTGAACTCAGAGCCTTGTACCTGCTAGACAAGTACTCTAGCACTTGAACCACATCTCCAATCCTCCTTTTTTTTTTTTTTTATTTTTTGGTGGTCTGAGGTTTGAACTCAGGGATCTGCACTTACAAAGCAGGCACTCCACCACTTGAGCCACACCTCCAATCCATTTTGCTCTGGTTATTTTAGAGATGGGGTCTCATAACCTATTTGCCCAGGCTGGCCTCAAACCTGGATCCTCCCAATCCAGGCCAGCCTTGGTGACACAGAAAATTTAAGGCCAGCCTAAGGCCAGACAAGCTATAGTAAGCTTATCTCAAAAACCCAAACAAAACAAGAAAAAGGAGGAAAAAGAAATACACACACACACACAGCACAGAACTTTAACTGCACAGCAGAATCACCCTGAGTCTTTCACACCTCAGAAACCCAGACTATACCCCAGAGCTGAATGAGAACCTGCGGGTGGGACAGACACGAGTATGTGAAGTCCAAGGTGGGAACCACAAAATTAAAAGTGCTGCTCTACAAACAGCGTCTGACTGATGTCCAGACAGCCCCAGCCTCAGTAAGCTCTGAAAGCAGTTTCCAACCACAAACAGAAATTCAGGTGCAGCCAGGAAAAGTAAGAAAGGCTACATAAGTTTGAGGCCACTCTGGGCTACATAGCAAATCCCCAGTCTCAAAAAAAAAAAAAGGTTGGGGTTGTAGCTCAAGAGGTAGACACGGGATTCAATCTCCCAACACTGTTGAAAACACAGAGCAGTCAATGCTACCATATGTCACTGGTGCGTTTATACTTAATAACTTCCAATACACTATCAAGGAAAATGAAATAAAGTTACTTATTTTTAAGCTTATGGGGTACACTTTTATTTTATTATTTTTGTCTTTACTTTTCTGGTGCTGGGGATCAAACCCAGGGCCTCACGCAAGCTAGGCAAGCACTCTACCAGTGAGCTACATCCTAGCCCACTGCTATGGGGCATAATTTTATATGTGCATATATTCAAATACTTGTAAAATAATTAAAAACTTTCCAGAGTCCCTACTCCCATTTCCTGTATGGGGGAAGGAAATGTTTCTTTTTTCCCCATTTCTCCCCATTTTTATCCTGCTATACTAACTTTCTTTCCTAATAACACTATTATTTTTACTACAAAAAAAAAATTTCCTTTATATTTCTCTACAAATTTGATTAACAAGTATGTTTTTCTGCCACACCACAAAGTAAGAAAAGGTTAGGCAGATGAATGGAGGAGTCCTTGTCTAATTGGGTCAAAATTTTAACAAGTCTGAGAGACAACGCCTAAAAAGCTCAAGGTAGGTTACTTGTACTTAGTTTCAATTCAAAGAGATCTCCAGCTTAAATATAACCCCTTTACCAGGGAAAGATGGAACAGAAAGGAGAAGTATTGTTACCAACCTAAACAATAAGAATGAGGTCACTGAAAATATCACAATCAAAACACCATTATCACCTTCCTTCAAAATGTTGCTGGTGCCACGACCATGACAGCAATGCTGCTCTACTAAGGCAATGCTAAAAACAAAGGATTGCCGTAAATATATCAAATGCAGATCTGTGGGCATTTTCAAAGTTCATTCACAATTGGTTTGGAGCACTGCAGAAGCCACAGACATTACTTACTAGCTGGCGTCTGTTTCTTTTCCAGGTTTCTGCTTTCCTTTTGGAGTTCATATTCTGGAAAGCTACAAGTAGAGAAAAAGGTTGGATCAAGGCTCAGAGAGGAACACTTCCTACTCTGGGCTCTGGCACAAGTTGCAGGAGCCCCTAAGTCTTGCTCTCTAGCCACCCGTCACCATCTCTGATGGCACACTTCCAAGGAGTACTGTAAGTCCAGAACAGAGGTTCTAAAGCATTAACTCAAAGAATCCCAGTGAGAGCTGGAAGCAGCACTGTATGTGTATCTTGTAGCCAGAGAGAACGCAGGAAGGTCTTGATGAGAATCACAGGGAATGCAGTCTCGGTCAGAAGCCAAGGTTCTGAAGTAGACCTAAAATACTTAAAAGAGTTTCTCACAAATTTCCACAAGAAGCAACTGGACTTCTAAATTTAGGAGACAATATTTGACAGAAATTTTTCTAGGACAAACTGTAGCCTCACTAGAGTCATCGATGAGTTGATAATGCTCAAGTGGAGATGACCCTCATAAAGAGAAACCTCGCTCTACCTTTCCAGAGAAGCACAGAGGTCAAATGCCCTCTGAAGCTGCTCCAGGACTTTCTCTCCACCACCTGTGCTTATCTGCACATGGCCAGCCTTCCTAGCACAGAGCTAACAAAACTCTTTTCAACATCTGTCTCAACACATCTGACAACACTCATTGTGCCTTACCAGACAATATAAACCACAGGCAAACATGAGAAAGTCTTTTTCTTCTTGAAAAACTCCTGCTGTCAGAATCTCCTATCTGTCCTGAATTATTTGGTTACCAGAATAACAGCTCTTCTATACCCAATCAAGGAACAAAAATGCTGACATCACTGCTAATACTTACTGAAATCACTGGGGAGACTGTGGTTCAGGTTCCTGTAAAATTCTGTCCTATGTGCTTTTTTCAGACCTGTGCAAAGGCCAAAATCAGAAAGTTTCACATGGCCCTATGAGAAGAAGAGACAAGGAGATGTGTGGATGAACTATGACATTTCTTCTGCTTATTCCAGTGTTCGTTACGTCTTCACAGTCAAACCACACTGCCTTTTTCCCCCTTTCATTAGAAGAAAAAACATATATAACAAACTTTTAAAAGAGCACTACAAATCCTCAATATTAGTAACATTTTTGTACATTAACTTTGATTTTGTTCAAATACAGGTTTTTTTCTTCTCTTTTCTTTTCTGAGACAGGGTCTCACTCACTATATAGCTCAGGTTGGCCTAGACCTCACAATCCTCCTACCTGAGCTTCCCAAATACTAGGATTAAAGGTATACATCACCATACCTGGACAAATACAGACTTTTAAACATAGCTGAAGGCTAGAGATGTACCTCAACAGTGCAAGGCCCTCTGTTCCACCCCAGCACAAATAAACAGTTAGCATCTAGACGATGTCACTACTTCTTTAATGAATGCAGTCAGGTATTACTCTCTGTGTAATCTTCAAAAAAGGCTTTTTTTTTTTTTTTTGGTGGCACTGGAATTTGAACTCAGGGCTAGGCAGGCACTGTTACCTCTTGAGCCACTCCACCAGCCGTTTTCTGAGATAGAGTCTCTCAAACTATTTGCCCAGGGCTGGCTTTGAATTTTGATCCTCCTGATCTCTACCTCCTGAGTAGAGCTAGGATTATAGGCGTTGAGTCATGGGTATGCAGCTTTTGTTTTTTGTTTTGTTTTTTTTGTAGTGCTAGGATTGAACCCAGGGCCTTGCACATGCTAGGCAAGCATTCTACCACTGAGCTACAAACCACCGCCCCACCCCGTCTCACCCCCCATGACCAAAATTACCTTTTTTGGTATTTTTTTATTTTTTGTATTAGGGGAGATATGTCTTGACACAAAGATAAAGGTTTCCAAAGACAGACAAAATTCTTCAGACCTTTCAAAGATAGTCAGAAAGTTATAAAAGACAGCAAGGAAGAAAACTACACTTGGAATCAAATTTACTTTTCTACTTAGAAAAAAATTTCAGTGAAGACAAAAATTCTGCATAACAAGCATAACATTCTAGAATTCCAGAGCTAAAGTGACTTAAGAGATTCTCTAGGTCACTGTGCTCACTGTCTAGACAAGAACAATGTGAGACAGCTGGGCATGGCAGCCCCCACTTATAATCCCAGATACCTGGGAGGCTGACATTGGGAGAGCTGAGGTTTGGGGCCAGCCCAGGCAAACAGTTAATGAGACCCCCATCTCAACCAACAAGCTAGGTGTGGTGGCACGTACCTGTAGTCCCAGTTATAGCGAGGCACAGTAGGGGGATGGAGGTCCAAAGTCAGATTAGCACAAAAATGCAAGACCCTTCCTTAATTAATTAAAGCTCAAAAGGGATGGGAGTGTAGCTCCAGTGGTAGAGCACCTGCCTAGCATGTGGAAGGCCCTGAGTTCGAATTCCTAGTACCACCCCCTGCTGCCAAAGACAAGGTCCAGATAGTGAAGTGATTTGCCAAAATTATCCAAAACTGAGAAGCACAGAGACTCTCTTCTACTTTACAGTGAGTTTAGGGACCAGTAAATAAGCACACTTGCATATATAGACAGGCTATCACAGAGGCTGAGCAGGACTCTCCTTTAAGCAGAGGCTGTGATTAGGAACCTGGACTTTGTGACAGGTTTTCATTGTTGCCTTAATTCCTGGTTCTTCATTAGCTGACAAGGCTGCCCAACAGAGGGGTGGACAGAGCTACATTAGCAGGGCAGTTAATCATATGCTAAGGAGAGTACGGGCTTTGGCTTTATTACAAAATCCCCCTCTAAAGTCAATTTTTTGCTCTTGATCATTTTCAAGAAGATCAAGAAGATCCTCCTCCTTTTTTAAAGACAGGATCTCACTACTATAGCCCAGGCTGGCTTTGAACTCATGATTCTCCTGCCTCAGTCTCCTGAGTGCTGGGATTACTGGCATGTGCCACCCCAATCAGCTTATTCATTATTTTCAATAGCAATGTTCGAGCAAGTTATGGAATCATTAAGCCTTTCAGAGAGGAAGTGAGAGCGAATTTCCATGAAAAAAAAAAAAAGAAAACCACACAAGGTAGACTACTGCTCCTCTGTCAGTACCAGAGAGCAGGTGTTACAGCAAAGGCTGCTTAGATCAGCAAAGTCCACTTGTGCTGCTCACCCCATACCTTGCTGTCCAAAAGAAGGTTGTCCGGTTTGATGTCTCTGTGGATGAATCCAAGTTGGTGAATAGAGTCTATGGCTAACACTGTTTCCGCAATATAAAACTGAGTTTCCTCTTCAGTCAGAGTGTCTTTTTTCATCAACAAGGTCATCATGTCCCCTGGAAACAAAAAGATGCAAAGCCACCACCACACACCAGACACCCATACATGCATGCGTGTACACACGCGCACACACAACACACATGCACACACGCACACGCAAGCACACACACACACACACACACACACACACACGAGTTAAGTACCAGTTTTCAGATATGCCTTCCCCATCTGCCAACATAACACAACTAAACAGAACTCTGCTGTGTTCCTGAGACTGACCCACATTGCTAATGGGGGAAAATGACAAGTAACAGTTTCTAAAACTTAAAGGTAAAAACCACAGCCGCAGAGAAGAAAAGCATTGTATATCTAAGCTAAGTGACACTGACCACTATGCTGTGACTTCCACTTTTCTCTGAGGAGAAAAGGATAATTTCTCCCACACTTAATTTTTTTAAGTATATTTGCTTAGGATGATTTTTTGGACCAGGGAAAAACCCACTTTACTTTGTACTCTAGCTCTATCCTCTACATCTAGAAGCAAGTGCCACTTCCACACTGGTTAGTATATAGACTGAAATGTCAAATAAAAATGTGAATTTTGAGAAGACTGAAAACAACCTTTGCAACTTATAGTCACAAAACACCAGGAGACAAGGTGGGCATAATAGGCAGCAAAGTACTGTCCACAGGAGATGAAAATGCTCTGGACTGGACAGTGTGACTCTGCCTCCCACGTGTCTCACTGCCACCTCTTGACAGCACCTCTTCTTCCTAATGCTTTATTACAGGTGTTTAAATATGCACTGTATCCTTTATATACCTTTTAAAACAGTTTTTAGCAGTTAAATGATAACTTCTTTAGTTTTCTGAAAAGCCAAATTTTAATTACTGCTGCTTAATACCAGCAATATAAAATGGTAGAAAAGATTCAGATCCTAAACACAATAGACAAAAGCAAAGGAACTGTGTGTAAGGAAAGTAAGAAAGGTTCAGCTTAAATACCACCCAAAGCCACTTTTGTTAGAAAATGGGAGAGAAAGAAGCCTCTGGTGTGCACAGAGCATCATACTGCCGCCTTTTGAATTTCACTATAACTTTATTTTTTGTATTGTGGAAGAAAAGTAGGTATTTCCCCTCAGGCAAAACTTAAAGCATCTATTAAGTGCTCTTTTGGGCCAAAGACTTGAAACCTATGACTCCTCATCACTCTGGCAACACTTAAGGGACAGGGGGCAGTGCATTAAGTGGAGCCTTTGCTCATGGCCCAGGAGAGCAGCCAATGGCCTCACCTGCACGAGTTTGCCCAGATAATCCAAGAGCTTAGGCCAGGTGGTCTATGGCTGTTCAGGCCAGCTCCCCCAAACACACACAGAGCAGGGTCCAGGAGATACAGAAGCTATGAAAGATGGCGCGGATAAGGGCAGAGGAGCTGGGGGCCAAGCTGGTTTCTGCTCTTTGTAAGGACTGGTACTTAAATTTCAAAGTGTCTCCTCACTCTACCAGACAACTCTTCTAACCTAGGTCGATTATTAATACAAACTATTGATGACCCTGGATCTAAACCAAGGGTTGTCACAAGATCAATATGTCATGTCAAATTTCATTTGCTTTAAGAACCAAAAAAGATAGTTATCTTTTTTTTTCTCTACCAGAGTTTTCTCAGAGCTCACTCGCTCAACGGGAAACAGACTGTGTTCCCCAGAATAGATGTTATGTTCTGTTCTGAGTTTACTTTAGGGCCATCTTAGGAGACACACACACAGAGGAATATAAATCTTGGAACTCTCAGAAATGAGAAACAGCCAGGCACTAGTGGTTCACACCTGTAATCTTAGCTACTCAGGAGGCAGACATTGGGAGGATTGAAACCTTACCTCAAAAAAACCCTACACAAAAAAAAGCTGTTGGGAGGTCTCAAGTGGTAGAGTGCCTGCCTAGCAAGCATGAGGCCCTGAGTTCAAATCCCAGTGCCACCGAGAGAGAGAGAGAAAGAGAGAGAGAGAGAGAAACTGAGTCTTGATGCTAATATAGGTAATAAGAAAGTCACTCTTTATTAATAAATTATAGAAAGAGAAACCAAAAAAGTTGGAACAAAAAGTGTGATAGCTTCAATTTTGTCACGTGTATAACTTATCCTACATGATTCCCACTGAAAGGAAAGAAAGCAAGGTTCCCTAGTTTATTTCCTATACATTTTAAAAGGAAAAAGAAATAAAAGTCCATCTGAAATCATGAGAATGAGTGAAAAAGTTACTAAAATTATAGAAAGACACCCCAGCACAAGACAGCATATTGACCTCCTTTATTAACCTAAAAAAAAAAAACAAAAAGCAGCTTTGTAAGCACAATTCAAAGTAGAAAGAAGTGTTAATTGTTGATGTGAAAGAGAGAAACCACAAAACAAAAAGGAAAAATGACCTTTCATCGTTCAGTAATTACCTCCAGGCAGGAACTCCATGATTAGGTAGAGGTTTAGCTTATCCTGAAAACTATAGAACATTTTCACAACCCACAAACTGTCTGCCTCCACTAGAATGTCACGCTCCGCACGAATGTGGCCAACCTGGAGGTATACGCATTGGATTAATGACAAGCTTTGCTCTGCTTTAGTAGATTGTATATTTGTTTAAACAATTTAAATAATGTTTTGAATATTTAATTGTGATGATGCAAAAGACTGGTTTAGGCAAACCTACTATTTCAAAATTGACATCTGACTCGAGCGTATTAGTGATGAAAATTTGACTGATGAAAGGCTTTAAAAATGGCAAGATGAATGGCGTTAATGCAAACAGCAACTTTAACAGTGCTATAAATTAAACCACTGATTAATAAAATTACCACCCTTCTGCAGATATTTTTGTTCTAATCTTTTTAGGATAAAAACAAGGCCCCAAACAAAGTGAGACTCCCAACAAGTCCTACCTCAGGTCTGCAATGACATCTGTGATATCTAGGCAAGGAGGATTTGTACTTTTTGTTGTGTTTTGCTTTTGTTTCTGCTGTTGTGGTGCTGGGATCAAAACCAGAGCCTGTGCATGCTATGCAAGGGCTCCACCACTAAGCTACAGCCCCAGCCTGCAATTTTATCTAAAATGACAGTGCACTGGTTAACAATTCTAGAATATTATGATGCTATAGCATTTACCTGTCTATGCACACAGCATGTGCTCAATCCATACTGCACTAAAATATGAAAATATCTAAGTGACAGATTCAAATTAATGACATTTCTAGCTTTCAACTTTCACTGTGATATCTAGCTAAGGAGACCAAGTTGCAGGAAGTTGGGAGAAGTGGTAGAATTACTTTGTTAAAAATGCCTTATAATATCAAATTTACCTTATTTTAAATATGCAATAGTAATCAAAATGTTGTACATATTATCAAATCCCAACCTTCCCTCTTTCTTAAGTACCACAAGATCCAAATTTGGGTTGAATCAAGTGTAAGTTTATTAAGACCCAGACCAAGCCTTGAATAGAGGTTTGGTCTTAACATATGTTGCCAGTCTTAAGTTTTTTCAGTATTTTTCAAAGTAAAAGATGTATCAAGATTCACAAACTGGCACATCTATTGCCAAGTTGGCTTGTTTACTATGTTTTACACACTTGTTGGTTTTATCAGAATGTCTTGGCAAGACCAGGTACTCTTCCATGACACTCCCATTTGAACACAGATCTCACCCTCTTTCCTGTTTTCTTTTTTTTTTTGGGGGGGGGCAGCATTGGGGTTTGAACTTAGGGCCTCATGCTTGCTAGGCAGGTGCTCTACCACTTGAGCCACTCCACCAGCCATTCTTTCCTATCTTACATCTAACCAGGCTCATTCTTCCACGCTGACTCTCAGGGCTTAGAGGCACATGAATTTACATTTTTGGGATTTTAATCTCTACTAAAATTGTTCTTTGGGGAATTTTTAAATAGCTCCAATATGAAGAAAACTTACATTTTTACCTCTGTACTTATGGTATGAGAGTGAGACACATACAGTCAGGGAGGTAAGAAGCAGTGCTATGAAACCACAGCAAGGAAAGCATCTGCCTTTTCTTGACCTTAATACAAAAGCAAGGCTTTGGGAACTAATGCTGCTTGCTGACCTGCAGCACGGTAGTCACAGCTATGACCCCGCCAGGCACTAACACTGTACATGTATCTGTTCCCCCAGCTCCTACTGCAGGGAGTCAAAGAAAAGAGGAGACACTACTATCATCACTTGTCACTCACCGTGGAGGACAGAATGGTGGCTGCAGCATTTCCTGTTTGTCAAGAGGAAAGCTGCAGTTGCTGCAAGCACACCTTGCCAGCTCTCCTCAAGATCTGAAAGTGGAGTCAGCTGAATACAGGGCAAGGGAGGCAAGCACCAGAGGTGCAACTCACAAAATGTTTTCCTTCCCCCATTCCAGAAGTATCTAAAGGGATCCAGAGAGAATTGCTATCCTGGGCAGCGATAATAGCCAGTCTCTGTCTATGTAACAGTACACTGGCATCACAAATGAAGGTTTTCCTTTGCACTGGAAGAGAACTATCTGGTTACATGGATGATGTCTCAGTCTTTAAAGTTTCTCCAGTTAACAGAACTTTCTACCTTGTGGGACAGAGTAAGAACTGAACTCTCAATGGGTAGCTTTAATTCCTACTCAGTTCAATAAAAGTAAACAAAAAAAATGTTTTTTCCTCCGGATAAAGCACATAAAACCATAAAAAGTTAGGCTATGAGTCTGAACTTTGTCAACTCCACCAAAAAATGATGACAGACTTGCACTGGTCTCCTTTAACCTTTCCCAGCACACAGCTACTGCATGCTCCTTCAATATATCCAACGCAGGGAGTATGTGGTTGGAGACTTTAACTGGCCCACACTGAGATCAAACCCAGGGAACAGAGTCCATCAGGTAAAGTAAGCTGAACAATTAAGTTAATCTAACATTTGATGCATAAATTAACATGTCACTTAATCTTAATTCTAATAGGTATTTCTTTTATTTTTCATTTCAAAAAATTTCAGCAATTGGTTTTGAAGAAGGCATATTTGAGAAAAGGTTTTTACATATCATATTTGGGTCATCTGTTTCCTCGAGAATAATCTAACACTCTTTCACCCATAGCACCCACTAATCTCCGGGTAATCCACAAATAGGACTATAGTGCATTTTGCACAAGGTTGGTATTAGCTTAAACTATAGTCAGATTCTCAACTGAAATTCCTGAGAGTCTAAGGCTTTTGGGTAACACATGAAAATGAAAGAAAAAATAAAATTTCCACATTTTAAAGTGACACTTATGTGAAGGCAGAAGACTCCATTATTAGACTTCCTCACAGGTGTCAGATGGGCCTGTGTCTCCATCCCTGCCCTTGGCCTCTACATGAGGAACTCTTCCTGTCACAAGTTCTCTTTGTGCTGTAACATTGGATCTTTTACAGGACATTTACAGTCATAACCCTCTGCAATCCGTTCTGCAACTACCAGCCAAATAAAACTAGGTTTACAGAAAGTCGGCATTGTTTTTTTAAAAAATAAGCTGTCCAATATTTAAACCTTATTTAATTTGTATAAAATACGTATGTATCTCACAGATCTAGTTGCAAAGAAGGTTCAGGTTTCATAAAGTGTTCATTTTTGAGGGAGTTGTGGAGGGGTTAGAGATGGAACTCAAGGCCTCATACACGCTAGGCCAAGTACTCATTCGCTAAGCTACATCCAAAGCCCTGAGAAAGTGTTCTTAAACATTAAAGGAGACTTTTCATTGCTCTGCCATTTGCATTGTGTTTCTAAATTCATTCAGAAGTTGGAAGACTTCTGAGAGAGACTTGGTCTCTCTCAAGTAGATGGGAAGACCCAGCTTTGATTAAGTTATACAGAATGGTGGATATTAAGACACATTTCATTTTATAAATTTCAAATTCTAATTCCCAATCCTCAGTTCCAAGGCACATGTACAATATCTATTCCTCGGCATTTGGTAAGAAACACATTAACACACCAAGCATGACTTAAAAGAAGTGTTCTCATGATAAGGACATCTTGGGTCAACTTGAAGACTCATTTGGCTGCTGCTTTCTCTAACAGGTTTCAACTTTAAAAACACTTCACATAACCCCTGGGCATTTTACCTGTGCTTTTAAATATGTAACTGCCAGGCTGGGGGAGTGGCTCAAGTGGTAGAGAACATGCCTAGCAAGCATGAGACCCTGAGTGCAAACCCCATTACCTACTTATTTTTAGGAGGAAAAAGCAGCATTATATTTATAGTCATACATAACAGAGCTAAAGAAGCTAACAAAATTTCAATTAAGCAAAAGAATAGTTTTAGGAGAAAAAAATTCAGAAAGACTAAAAACTGCTCCAAATATGCTTTACCTGCTCTTTTTCAAGCATGTCTGCTTTACGAAGGATTTTCATTGCATATACATGTCCTGTATCTTTCTTCTGAACAAGTCGCACCTGAAATTATAGAAGAAAGGCCAAATTAAAAGTTCACACTGTCCTAGCAAGCACAAAGCCCTGGGTTCAAACTCTAGTACTACCAAAAAAAAAAAAATTCATTCTGGCAAGCTAATGCTTTCATGTGTTGTAATAAGCATTTTCTTTCCCCAGTGCTGGGGTCAGACCCAGGGCTCTGCAAGTAATATTTAAACTGGAAACATTATAATTTGAATATAAGCAACTACTAGGAATAGAACAGAAGAAAATGTTTTCCAATGTTTCAAAATGAATACTTCACACACAGGAAACATCCTCAAATATCTCTGCATGTCAACAGTGTTGACTCCCTAGTTGAACAAACCCATCTAACTTAAAATCTTCAGTTTCAAACTTTAGGACTAGTTAACCCCTGGTACGTATCATCTAGTCAGCTCAGAAAACCTAAGTAAATAATTACAACATTTAAAACAAAAGTAAAAGCTCATACATAGGAATAAATGTCTGAAAGGAAAAAATACTTTAAAATGTTTAACTAGGGAAATGAGGTTTCATAGTTTTTCTTTCTCTTTTGTATTTCTAATGTTTTTAAAGAGAATTGATAATTCTGTTATAAAAGAAAACCAAAAGAAAAACTTCTTGGCAAGTTCCTACACATACTCCCTTCTCTCCCAAGATAAGCAAGTCCTTTATCCTGCATCTTTCTTCAGGTCTTTTCTAAATCAAGTTCTATGTCCATTCCTCACCTAAACAGGAAGTGCTTTCTGCTATTTTTTTTTTTTTCCTGGTGCTGGGGCCTGAGCTCAGGGCCTACATCTTGAGCCACTACACCAGCCCTTTTTTCTAATGGTTCTTTTCAAGATAAGAGTCTCGAGAACGTATTTGCCCAGGCTGGCTTTGAACCTTGATCCTCCTGATCTCTACCTCATGAGTAGCTAGGATTATAGGCATGAACCACCGGCGCCCAGAAGGAAGTGCTTTTAACATGACATCTTTGTTTGTTTTTGCAGCACTGGGGCTTGAATTCAGGCTTGCTAGGCAGACGCTCTACCATTTGAGCCACTCCGCCACTCCAGGAAGTACTTTGAAGAATGCTTTCTCCCTCTCCAGGGAACAACAGAGATTGTGAATACAAAGATCCATTTTACCCTTCACCTATGTCTTTCAAATAGTATTCCCATTTGCCCTGGGTACCAGTTTTAATAATATGCCTCTCCCTCTCTACAAAGGTAATAAAACTGTTGCATCAGGAGGTTGTCCACTTTGGGTGTTTTCCATTAAGGAGAATGACCTCTCATGAACTCAAACTCTCCGAACAGATTGCTCTTGTGATAAACAGGATTCATTTGTAAGAACAGCCGGGCTGGCAGAGTGGCTCAACTGCTAAGAGCACCTGCCTAGCAAGGATGAGGCCCTGAGTTCAAATTCCCAGTATTGCTATTAAAAAAAAAATAGCTGGATCAGAAGCTGGAAGAGCACAGCACTACAGCACGTGCCTAGCAAGTCCAAGGCCTGGGGTTTAAAAAAAAGAAGAAGAAGAAAGAGAAAGAAAAGGGAAAGAAACAAATAGTTGTAGCTAGGCCAAGTACAAAGGCTTTCAATCGTCTACCACTACCTTTCTGTAAGTTCTGACTCCTAGAATCTTCATTTTAGAGTTGGACGAATCTCATGGGAAGATTAAAGGGTAGATATACACTCATCAGTTTGCGTCAGGAGAAACACTGCGATGTTGGGAAAAGCAAGAGCTTTAACATCAGGAAGACCTAGGCCTAATCCCAGCGTTCAATGGCTATTTGACACTGAGATATCGTATGCATCTTGACTCCATCATCTACAAACGGGTCACTGTTACACAGGAGAGAAGCACTAAGGAAATAATGCACATTGATCCTGTCTTTCCTTCAACTACTCCTCTAGTTTAATCTTTTTTTTTTTTTTTTTGAGGTACTGGGGTTTGAACTCAGGGCCTCACCTTTGCTAGGCAGGCATTCTACCACTTGAGTAACTACTCTGCCAGTCCTTTTCTTGTGTTGGGTGTTTTGAGATAGGGTCTTGTCTTCATTTTGCCAGGGTTGGCCTTGAGCCACAATACTCCTGATCTCTGCTTCCTGAGTAATAAAGATTACACACGTGAGCATCTGGCTCTAGCTCAATATTTAAATTTAGCACCAACATCAGTAACTGAGCATGGGGAGGAAGCCTGTAATTCTAACACTAGCAAGATGGAGGTAGGTGGATTTTTAAATTTGAAGCCATCCTGTGCTACAAGTAAGACCCTGTCTCAAAATAACCAAAAAAAGGAAAAAAAAAGCACCTACATCATCTCCAGCAAAACAGGAGAGAAATGGGGGGAGAGAAAAAGACAAACAGAAAAAATGGGATGTGAGGTCCTCATACCTGGCCCAGCTAAACCCAGTATATTTTGGTTATATAGAAGACAATAGAAGCTTTGAAGTTCTGTGGTCTTTCTGTACTTGATAAATAGCTGCTGTTTTTTACCTCACCAAATGCTCCTCTGCCTATGACTTTTAAGGATTCAAAATCTTCCAATCCAAGTCTTGTTCTCTTCAAACGAAGAAATTCTGTTTCCTTCCGGGCATGTGCTGATCTCCTGAGTCGTTTCTAATGTTTAAATAAAGGAGGGCAGGGAAGGGAAAAGTTGAAATTCTGAAACTCTTTTTTAAGAGTCATGTTTGTGTCTTACTCAGCTGGAAAAGAGTCACACTAGATGAGGCATAACCTTCTTACACCTGACAGCACTGTGGAAGGATCTGGAAAGATCGCCTCCCCTCCTCTGGTCTTCAAGCACAGCAAGTAAGCAGCAGTGAACAGACCCTAGTGCCCCTCTGAGAACCTGACTAACCTATTTCAGCAGCCACTGTTCTAGCACTTCCAGTGAAGAGAGGCTAGCAAATCAACATTGCCTTTTCATCTTTTTCAACTAACATAAAAGTGTATTTCTACTTCACTCTGGGATTTGTATATTTTGCAGTCCATTGTGTGTTTGAACTTCCTATTATTCCCACAAGTATGCAATATTTTTCGCTCTACCTTGGGTTCTGAAGTACTCCCAGGGCTATTCAGTTATTCACATGGCCCTTTATGAACTGTTTTTTCTCCTACCACTTTTGGGAGCAGTGGGCAGAGGGCTGATTTAAGAGAGGTACTTTGCCTTCACAATGATCTAAGTCATTTACCTTACTCCCATGCAATGAATTCAATGAATTCCACAAGAAAGCTTACTTTACTCTTGTATATTTAATTTGATTCATTGATTTCATCTTTTCTTTTTCTTAGAATTCTAAATCTAATTAGTTATTTTAACTCTGCCTAAACAAGTCCTCCCTTCCTGGATACTGAATGACAGCAAGTTCAGAAGCATGCCAGCCCTCAAGTTCCTTTGTGACTGAACCAAAACCCTCCCCTTGGGCACCAAGGCTCACTTGGTAACACACCTTCCAGGCTGCACTTTAAGGAAGAAATTCCAATATTAATTACCTCTTCATCTTTCAGGCCTTCTTCTTCCATTACTTTCTCTAACTTCTTTTGTCTAAAACAAACAATAACAAAAGATTTATGAAGTAATTTTTTAATAACTTTCTGAAAATCCTACACAAACATAATTGGTTTTTGAAAAATGACCAAAAACATATAAATACAAAATGTCTCATTAAAGAAAAATATTATCATTTCTAAGACAAGTGAAGATTCCCATCATGTTAGATGCAAGAATCAAGTGAAGAGTCTCAAAATGTTAGACTATATGTTGAAAGACTGTCTAAGGCGTTAATGCAACAGACTTTGTTTCAAAACCAAATCTCCTGGGCTGGAGGTGGGGCTCAAAGCAGTAGAGTGTGAAGCCCTGAGTTCAAACCCTAGTACCACAATACAAAGAACAAGGCCAAATTCTCTCCCCTTTCCTTCTTCCTTCTCTCTTCTACCTCTCCTTCTCATTCTCTCTTCTCATTTCCTTCTTACCAAACCACAAAACAGGTAATATCTAATATTACCTGTTCTTTTGTTCCCTCTGACTGAAATCTACTTCCTTTATTTTCACATCCTCCTCCCTACCATAAGCAAAGAGTAATAAATAAAAAAATTAAAGGCAGAATGTAGATTCAAGGGGAAAAATTATTGCAAAAGGTGATTGGCACAACTATCAAAACTTAAAACTCTCAAGTCTAGGCTACAAAGCAAGTTCCAAGTCAACCTGTGCTATATAGCAAGACCCTTCCTCAAAAAAGAAAAAAAAAAAGGAAGGAAGAAAAGGAAGGAAGGAAAAAAGGGAGGGAGGAAGAGAGAAAGAGAGGAAAGTTAGTTGCATGTAAGAAATTTTTTTTCTTTTTGGTGCTAAGTGGTCAGGGCCCCCCAATACTGAGCTATACCCCCAGGCCCTACCCAAGGATACTTTTTTTTCTCTTGGCAGTACTGGGGCTTGAACTCAGGGCCTACACCTTCAGCTACTCCACTATCCATTTTTTGTGATGGATTTTTTTGAGACAGGGTCTCATAAACTATTCGTCCAAGGTTGGTCTGTACTTCGATCCTCCTGAGTAGCTAGGATTACAGACCCTCGTTCCAAGGATGCTTTTTTTTTTTTTTTGGTAGTACTGGGGTTTGAATTCAGGGCCTCATGCATGCTAGGCAGGCACTCTACCACTTGAGCCACTCCACCAGCCGAATGATACTTTTGATCTACAGTCTCATTCTGATTTGGTAAAGCTAAAAGAACCAGGTCAAACTTCCACACAACAATTTTATAGAATTCTATTTATTCATCATAATAAAAAAAGTACATGGTTGGGATCTCTCTCCTTATCAGCATTCTCACTTATCAGCATTCCAGACAAGCAGGCAACAGGAGCAGGGCAGGGAAGAATAAAAGTGTGGGGTATATTGAGGCAAGAGCATGCAGTCACTGTAGCTGATGCACAAAACACTTCAAATGTCACACCGTTTCTTCATCAAAAAAAAAAAAAAAAAAAGGTTGGCTCTTACTCTTGAGATTGACTGAGAGATAACAGAGCCTTGTATACAAAGAACTGATGTGATGAAACTCCTATTCCAAAAGGGTAAACAGCAATAATGATCTGATGACTGGCAGGCAGGGGAAGCAGCTGAGAAAGACCTGAAGCCAATGAAAAACTACTGTATTGCCGGGTGCCGGCAATACACGCCTGTAATCCTAGCTACTCAGGAGGCAGAGATCAGGAGCCAGCGCAGGCAAATCATTCAAGAAAACCCTTCACAAAAAAGGGCTGGAAAGGTGACTCAAGGTATAGGCCCTGAGTTCAAATCCCAGTACCACCAAAAAAAAAAAAAACTGTATTAATTCAACTGTGCAATAAAGACCTGGTGCTAGACTAGAAAACCTTGATAAAGTGAAGGTATCAATTGAAAGTACAAATGGCAGTAGGCATCATAGGAAAAGTCTTAGAATTTCATGTCTGAGGAGAATAATGACACCACTAATCAAGACAGGAAACACGCAGAGAACACCACAGAAAAAAATGAGTTTCCTTATGGTCAATGAATATTTTATTACAGTAAATATTTTGTTATAAGCCACATTACAAATCTATAGGAACAATGAATAAAAATTCACGTCCAGGGCTGGGAGCATGGCTCAAGTGGAAGAAAGCCTGCCTCTCAGGAAAAAAAGATTTACTCTGACCCTAAGGGAAAGAAATAAAGCATTTACATAATCTCCCCACGTTCTTCACCCAGCTCCCAGAATATTTTGGGACAAGCATCTATGTGTGTATATAGTAAGGAAAAGGCTATCCTAGTGATAATTTCAGCAGTATAAACTAATTCCATTTCAGTTGTTAGAAAGTCAAAGCAAAACATCTGTGTCTTAAGGATCAACACCAACATACCTCTCTTCCTGACTGTATCTGTTTTAATACCATACCAGATGGGACTACAAGTCCAATGCACTCTCCACCGTGTTGCAGAACTAACTCCTTCTGACTATATTTTACATCTAATCCAAAACTTGAAGGTTTTCCCATAGCCTGACTCCAAGTGTAATTAAATTGGTTTCAGTAGAACACCTGCCTGGGGGCAAAGTTATCAGAATTAACTTCTTGAACACAATTAGATTTTATTAGAGAATGTACTCAGAAAAAAATCTATCAGGACAATCTAGCATGATTCCTTAGTACTGGATCTACAAAGAGCTTCAACCAAAAAACAGCAAGCACCGCCTAAAGTGAGGTTTAAAAGTGGCAACTTGGGAGGGGGTGGGGCAGGGGGGAGAAATGACCCAAGCATTGTTTGCACATATGAATAATAAAACAATTAAAGATAAATAAATAAATAATAAAAATGGAACTTCAACTAGCAAATAAATAAATAAATAAACAAATAAATACAAGCGGCAGCTTCTGTGGGATGATGCCAAAGAACCACTATGCGCTTGGTCACATTCCTGGTGGCATTATGATTATGCAAGAAAATGGCCATACTTTTGGAGACGCAGAGTGGAGTGAAATGACAGATGTTTGGAATTTTCTTTAAAACAAAATAGCAAGAAAAATTAAGTGAAATAAATGAAGAAAATACCTTCAATAGACAAATGTCTTATTGAAAGTGGGGGATAAATATATTGGGGAGAGGCCCACTATACTATTCTTTGTTTTTTTTTTTTTTTTTTGAAAACCCTAACAGGCCCCTCCATGAGCATGCTCACTGTGGCAGCACCAGGTTAGCTAATGCCTCAACCTTTGGGTACAGCCACTCTTCCACTCAACTCCAATGCTCCAAACCAGAATCCTGGAAGAGGGATCTGCCACTTTCCCAAGGAGAGGCCACACCCAAACACATGCCAGCAAGGCCTTTCGCAGCGATCCTTTTATCTGCACATGTGCCCAGTGCCCACGTGACACTCCAAGTTACCTGGAAGGGAGGGAATGCATTTATAGTTACACTATAAATAGTGCTTTGCACAGTTACCTTTTAAAATGTATGCTGCTATATTCTTTTTTAAAAAAAGATCCAAACATGTAATAATGTGTGGATACATCCTAAACCTAACTCAGATTCCCCTCCTAACACAACCTGATCAGCAATAGTAAGGACAGAATTTCTGTTGATGAGACACTTAGAACCAGGACAAACAGCATTAGAAATAAACATCTTCAAGAATAAAATTGAGGAAATGTCTAATACACTAAAAATCAGTATTATACATTTTCAAAATATCACCAAATTATAGCATTTCAATTCCACAGGCTATTTGATATCTATCTGGCCAGTGAAGAACATTAGAAGATCTGGATTTATTCATCCTTGGAGGCTTAAACAGAACTGACACTAGATCATAAATAATAAACACAATTTCTACTCAGTGGATCACACCAAACATAGGCATAGTGTGAAAACATCTTTTTTTTTTTTTTTTTGCCCCAGCACTAGGAATGGAGCCCAGAGCCTTGCATATGTGGACAAGTACTCTATCACTGAGCTAGAAAGGCCAGCCCCTGGGTAAGAACAGCAAAGAGAAGTTGCAAATATGTAGGTTCTCAGAAAGTAAAATGTACAGAAGTCTTTATTTGATTGAGATGGGGATAGCATTAACGTCTATTAAGTTAGGGTATTTTTGTTTTTATTTTACCAAGCTGGGGCTGGAACTCAGGGCCTCACACTTGCTAGGCAGGAGCTCTCACTGCTTGAGTCAGTCCAAAAGCCCTAAGTGAGGTTTTTGTAACTTTAATTAATCCACAAAAATAATCTTCGTGAAGAAGCAATACAGAATACTTTGTCGGAGGAAATGTCTGTTTCCTTAGATTTGATTACAGACTGCTATAAGTTATCCAAACCATTATTTTTAATGACTACGTAGCCAATTATCAAGCACCTTCTGAATACCTAAGACCTAAGACAGAAGAGCTACTGCTCCTAGAGAAGCCACAAAACAGACTGAAGGGGCAGAGAAGTGCTCCTGCACTACTGGATGCCTGTGGCCCACAAGTGTAGTCAACAGGAGGCCACCAGCCAGCATCGGGCAGCACTGGGTGATGGACAGGACGTTCAGGGTTTAACAACCTGTGGAACTTGCTGTAGTGTTTCCATGAAATGGCTCAAAGTTCTCATATTTTACTTGTATACAGGAAATAATTCACAAATAAATTTTATTTTTTCTTCTACCTCCAGACTTTGGACAATTTCCCATGCAATAAGCCTTTTGTTTAAAATATAATCTAGTGATCTCTCAAGGTGGAACAGTACAAACATTGCATTGGATGGCAGAAATCACAGAGCTCTAACAAGGCGCAAAAAAAGAAATCACAGCCTGATTTCAGTTTATCATTTAAAAACCTCAACATACGGTATTAGACATACACTCAGAATTCCACACTTATCAGCTGTCTCCTATCACTGAAGCTATTTAGTAAAGTTCTGTATCTCTCCACAGCATTGAAAATCAGGAAAACTCATTTCTTTCGTGGGGTAGCGTTTGAACGAAGGACATTGCTAGAAGACACTCTGCTACTTCAACCATGGCCCCAGCCCCTTTTGCTTTATTTTTCAGATAGGGTCTCCTAT